ATATGAAACACTCATCCCTTACAAGCCCATCATCTGTTTCAAACCCATACCCAAATGATTTATGCGTTTTTCCAATAACAGATGAGGACTTGGGAAACAGAGAAAATAATCCCTGACTTCAGTTTTCCTCTGTGGACTTGGTAGCTCTGTGTGGACCAATTTCACTGTTTGCTTTGTGCAGGAAGAGGGTTTGCGGCTGCTTTTTTAGCATCAAGCTACATCCTTAAAAGGACCTGTCAGATGTTGGCATCCTGCAGTTCTCATTTCCTCTTTTATTGAAATGAATTTGGTTTTGTTTCTCCCCTGGCCTTTGAGCATTACTGGTTGCTGATGGATGACTTGCATGCAGTTACTTATCAGAATAATCCCAGGGGGATGGCATCCGTAAAAGAGAGATGCTTTAGTATCACTGGTGCTAAGTGGATTATTGGAGTCTAAAGTCTGTAGAGACAGAGCAAGAAACATTCCCAGGGTTTGGGTGTCTGGCTGTGGGCTCAGCGTCTTGCAGCTCCCGCAGAGTATTCAGCTCAGTGCTCCAGTACGGAGGTGGTGGTGGAGAGTCACAGWATGGAAGCAAAAAATGGGTTTTAAGAGGCATTAACGGGGAGGAAAAGCTGGAAAATATGCAAATAAATACATAAATAAAAGGCAGATGTTGCCTTCACTTTGCTATTGAAGTAAAACCTGCATACAGACCAGGCCCCGATATCCTCCTACCCTCTTCCAAGCTTTGCAGAGCCTCCCATCAAAAGCACGTTATTTGGGGGAGGGCAAGAAGGGCRTTCGCTTTGAAGCGACCAGCACTGAAACCAGAAATAGCTTCTTCCTTGAGAGAAGCAGCACCTGGGCTGAGCGTCAACCGCCGGAGCTGMTCTCGCTCTTGTGGCGTGGAGCGAAACAGATGGGACTCGCTGGCCTCCCTCCCAGCTTCCCATATTTTGTGTGCRTGAGCATATTAGCAGGAATGTGTGTGCCCAGCCATAAACTAGGTGGGAAGTGTCTTCACAGGCTTTGCAACCTCCCGAGACAGCTCTGTGATGGATTCCGACGGGCCGTCCCCGTCGCTCGCTCAGCGGGCAAACGGGGACGTGTTGGTTTTTAGCTGTTCCAAATGTTTGAAGCTGAGTGTGGGTTTGTTATTTGTGGGGTTTTTTAGTCTTTCAGGAGGCTGCAGGGAGCTGCTCAGTTTGTCAATGACCCCGGGTCTCGAGCCTGTGTTGCAGGAGCTGGGGACACGGCTGGGGACGTTCACCTTGTTGTTGCTCACACACATAGGCTGCGTTGGGAGCCTGGATGCTCTGCTGGCCAAGCGTGCGTAGCTTCAGCGCAGCGTTTCTTGGCAAGGTTTCTGCTGAGCATTCCTGGAGGAACCTATGAGCAAAAATACAGTGTTGCAGGCAGCTCAACCCATCTGAAGGGCAGTACCTGCAGGGGATCGTATCTACCGAGGCCTCTGCTAACACACGCAGGTGACACAGGCATCACCAAAAGTAGTGCTGGGCCTCCCATTAAACCTGTCAGGGTGGAAATAATGAACCCTTGATTCATGAAACTGTGTATCTTAGTGCRAATGAAATTTCTGTTGATTTTATTCAGTGAAATGAGGTCTAAATGTACAAGAATTCTCCCACTGCTTTGGGAACTTCAATGGTAGCTTTCAAAAGTAGCTGGAGAACCAGGAAGCAGCAAGAGTTTAAGAATCATTTTCCAAACTAAACTGTGCAGTGCAAAGGATCAAAATAAACCTGGATTTAATAGTACTAATGGCCTATGTGCAATAGTGTGTGTATAACACTGAGCACGCTGGTAAACCCACTTGCTCAATCTGAACAGCTTGCACTGCATATTTTTCAGAAGAATCAGGTCTTCTTATCAGAAAGGTTTTTCTTCCCCCCATGAGTGTCAGTTGGCTTTACTTTACTTTACTTTACTTTACTTTACTTTACTTTACTTTACTTTACTTTACTTCATTTTAATTTTTTCCACTTTCCCTCTTACGAGTTAGTAATACTTAAGGTATGCAAAAGTTGGGTACAAATGGGAGCGTAATAGTATCCAGAATCTTATGGTGTAGCTTTCATACACAGGAGGAATTGCACTAGCAAAGGCATTTTTCTCCACAAAAATGTAAGTTTTCCTCTGGTTTAGGAGGCTTTTTGGAAGAGCTGTTTCCAATATAAATGTGAGGTAACAYAGGTGAAAAATGACCCTGCTGCAGTCCCTCTGTGGGTGAGAGACCTGATGGCCTCTCTTTGAATGTTCCTCAAGACTTTTGTGGTGGCTCCTTTGTTTTCATCCTAATTTTAGGGTTTTAGGGAAAACAAATGAGGCTTGGACATCACTTTACTTGGCTTCTTGTGCCAGGAGGAGAATCTGTTTGCCCAAGGGCTTGTGATTGAAGATGACTTAAACCTGCTCATTTTAGGGTGTCTTTTCGCGTCTGTCATGAGAACTTAACACAACCCAGATGTAACTGATAAAATAGAAGTCAAAGATGAATGTGGCCCATCTCGGTGTGTGAGCRGTTCAGTTACAGGCAGAGCAAGCAGAATAATGGACAACACATTGCGATGATTGTTCAGTTAATATAATTTGCAATGAATTATTCACAACAACTTGTTGGCCCAGCTCTTACCGTCATCGTTTTCATGCTGTCGTTTGCTGGCGTTTGAAACCGCTTCCCCCAGCTCGCTGTGATATGACACGTAATAAAGTACAGCCAGGCATCCAGCCCCTTCTGCTGCCTACGTGCAAGGAAGGGAGGGCTTCCAAGAGCTCCGTGYCTCAGGTGCTGACCTCTCTCTAAGACTTTAATCAGGAGGGTTCAAGTGGAGGCTGCGGCCGCYGAGCACTGAGATGTAACCCATCAAAGGCCCTTGCAGGGGGTCCCCCTATACCCAACTTCTAAAACCTTAAGTATTACTAACTTGTAAGAGGGAAAGAGGAGAAAAATAGAATAGCATAGARTAAAATAAACACCTCTTGGACTCTSCTCTTGCTTCATTACAAAGCTCGTGGAAGCCTTGGTTATGAGCAAACCTTGTCTCCCCACCATGTGAGCACAGAAATGGATGTTCCTTTGGTCTAACAGTCCAGCTCTGAGAGAATATACCTCTATCAGGCGTGGGCTTTCAAAGCACCTCTTTCCATTTTAATAACTGATGTGTGTTTTGGGGTGATAATCCTCACATGAGTGATGTGTAGAGGCTTTAGACAACACCTGGGTTTCCAGTGGAGTTTGACCAGTTGGGATGGATTGATTAACCTGCTTCCTTGGTGTCTTCCATTAGGCCTTTAAGCAGCTGGGCAGATCTGCTGCCAGTGCTGCTGCTTTTTACCTGCTCTACCATCGTTTCACACTGCAGAACATTGTGCCCATGTCGTCCTTTCTTATCCTCAGGCACTAGCACATGCACAAGTGTATTTATCTGAAATTCCATCCAAGAGAAGACCCGGCCCTCATGCAAGGATGGTGGGGTTTAATCCAGGGAGTGGGCAACCTACCAGAGCAGGCAGGAACATAGGCTGCCTTCTGCAATCCAGAACTGCCGTYGTTTATGCTGGAACCTAAGGATAAAAGTTCCTGGGCAGCTGTAGCTTCGGGGCTCAGCCTCTTGSAAGGGGTAAGGTGAGATGTGGATAGTCCATAACAAGCTGGGATTGCTGCTGCTGCTGCTTCTCCATGGAGGGACTGCATTCATCAGGTTAGATTGCCAGCATCTCCTTGTCCAAATCTCCATAATGGGGCAAAACATGATTAGGGAGCCGTGTTGTCAGTGCACAATGACTCTGAAATGACTAAGATTGAATTAAACCCCTAATGGCAGCGCATCCAAAGTAAATAACAGCAAAACAGATCCGCTGGTGAAGGCTGTGTCCATCAGTCACCTCCTGTTAGGAGGACTTGTCTTCCTGGCTGGAAAAAAACTTTGCTTCTTCTGACAGACATGGGGTGAGGGGGGTCTACCTCTGCCTTATTCTGCTTTTCTTTTATATCCATTATATCAAGTAAAGCGAAGTGCTGTAGGGTGCTTTGTGGGTGACCAGCATTGCTGTCTTTGATTGCAAACTCTAAAAATATTTCTTGCTTTTTTAACCTCATTAGTGGTCCTTATTTTGCAGCTCTGGTTTCTCCTAATGGTTGCGTCATTGCCGGCAAATAAGATGGGTCTTGAATATCTGTTGCTCTGCTGGCCTTCCAGAAACACTTGGCAACCTCTGGCTYTGCACTCAGGGATGTTTGAGCCAAGGAGAATTTTAGGGAGTGAGATCTCTGGGGAAAAAAAGCAGGGAATGAGAATGTAAACAATAGAAGACAGGTAGAAAGAAGGAAAATCTGTCTGTAATGTTGAATTTGAAGCATTTGTGGTGTTGATATTGGATCACTTTGTCTTCTAGCCTTATTGCTATTACCTTGTGCAAAATCTGTATCCCACCTGTTTTGCTGAGGGGCAGACGGTTTCCTTCATATCCCCAACAGTTGATGTGAAGTGTCCCAACACAACCCTGGCGTATTTGGGGTGTGCCAGGCCTCTGACCACGCTATCTGTTCAGGATTTGGGGGATCTATATCCCAGGTTGGTCACATTTTCAAGACCCACCACTACAGTGAGAAGTCTTACAGGGGTGGCTCGAGACCTGAAAATCACTGAGTGCTTTGGAGCTCTCCTGTGCTGTAGCTGCAGTCAAAGAGGTGGCAAAAGAAGATAAAAAAARTCAGTTGTTGCAGAGCGCTGTGCAAATGACAGGTGCAGAAATGAAGTCTCTATTTGGGATGAAGCTGGTGGGAAAATTGTGTGCTGCTGCTCTCTACTGGGTGAAACTGGGAAGGCTCCTGCACCCTGCCGTGTTGGGGCCATGATGGGGCTCTTGGCCACGAGATGCAGGGCAGCTCCTGCCAGTCAGTGCCAGGACACCCTGGTGGGCTGGCCAGGGCTCTCTGAACACCTGAGGGGCACTAGAACTGTTCACCTGATTCTCCTGCTCGTCTTCCCTTGCAGTGTGTTACCTGCTGAAGAGCAACATCAGCCCGGACCTGTGCAATGAAGATGGGTTAACTGCACTGCATCAGGTGAGGCTTTGGGGAGAGGGCCCTGCRGCAGCTCGGGGGATCTTGGGTCCCTGCGGCATCTCTCCCCATCCGTGGGAAATGGAGAGCACGGCGGCGTTTCCTTTTGCTCACCAGCTAAAGCAGCTTTTTTACTACGCTGTGCTGAGGACTGCTGCTTCCTGAGGAGCAAACTGGGAACAAACCCCTCTCTTGATATATCCTCAACTTTGGTCCGTGATGGGAAGAACTCGGGAGCTGCGGCTTGGGTTCAGACATGAGCAACAACATTTCTCCCACTCATCAGTCTCTGTAGGGCAGGGCACAGACTCTTAAGAAAGGTTAACTCCAAAGTCTTTCAAGAGACTACGGCAGCCCACCAGCTTGGAAAGTGGTTTAGTTAAATGGCACACGAGATGYGCAGGGAGTCTGCGTGCAATCTGCTGTGCTTCCTATCTGCTTTTGAGAGGCTTCCAAAGGTCAGCTTGAGGCAGCAGCCACTGGTGTTCAGTAAAAATACACAGCCATCACATTAGCCTCTGCGTCTGCATCCTTCCCGAGATCGTCCATGGTGGTGATGCCATGAGGGCTTCGTGAGGGTTGTCTTCAAGTGTCACAGAACCACAGAGTGGTTGAGKTTGGAAGGGACCTCTAGAGATCGTCTAGTCCAACACCCCCCAGCAAGGACACCCGGAGCATGTGGCACAGGGTGGCATCCAGGCTAATCAGCCCTAACTTGGTCTTTCCTCATATGAGAGATGCTCCCATCCCTTCATCATCCCCGTCCTCCAGCGCCCTCATTTTCAGTGCAGAAGCAGCAGGAGAATCCCGGTGCCAAAACCCGCGGGCCGCACGGTGCCCGGCAGCTGCCGCCTCCGCTGCCCTGGGAACACAGGGCGCTTGTTGGGCTCGCTCTGTGGGCGGCTCACAAATTTTGGCCTCCTTAGGCCTTGCTGTCAATGCTTCCATTGGCTTGGGATTTCAGAGGCTTCTGCAGGTCTTTTTCCTCCCTTCAGAGCTAGGTGGATGTTTGCTTAGAAATGCAGAGAGGCTCCTGGAAGGATTAAAGCTCCCTGCCACCAGACGCTGCCTGCACCCTTGCTCTGGGGGCAAATCAGCACCTTTAAAAGCCTGTGTTGCAATGTGGGCTATTGCAGACTCCAATTCAGCTCTTCAGTAACGTGTGGCAGGGAAACAGACTTCCCCCACAAGGCTGAAGTGTCTTCTGGTGTCTTTATCACTCCCCTGTGTTGGGAGGTGAGGGTGAGGTGGATTAAGGAGCAGGTTGGGCCTGCCCCGAAGGGGAGCAGTGCAGGCCCCTCTTGCAGGCTGCCCTGGCATGGAGCACCCTGTGCCTCCAGGATCCCGTGTTTGGGAGCGGAGTCGCCACCAGGAGGCACTTAAGCAAAAGGAAAAGCCCTTTTTATTTCATTCTGTTCCCTAGGAAAAGGGAATTCCAGCCCCATCCCTTACCACAGTGTTACACTGGATTTGTTGAATTTCTTGACTGTGAAGGACCCATTGACCCATTGCCTCTCCTGCTATTGCTTCCTCACTGATTCTGCCCCCGAAACACAAGACTCTGTCAAACCCCAGTGACCATCAGTAAATGCAGGGCAGATGTTCTGCATGATGGCTCCTGCCCTGCTTGTGCTGAGCTGCTTGCTGTATGACCCATTGGAGATGCTGGTTACCAAACACTGCATGAAGAAATAGGTCCTCTCATCTTCAGTTACCCTGGCAATACCAAGAGGGTGTGAGCCCTGATCTTTCCTAACCTTAAAACCAAAGCTCACTCGCCTGCATTTCTTGCTTACCAGTGCTGCATAGACAACTATGAAGAGATAGTAAAACTTCTYCTCAACCATGGGGCCAATGTCAACGCCAAGGATAACGAGCTGTGGACTCCGTTGCATGCAGCAGCTACATGTGGTCACATCAACCTGGTGAAGATCCTCATCCAGCAGTAGGTGGCCTTTTGTGTCTGTTCCCTCMTGCAAGTCTGGTTTGAGCTGTAGTTTCTGCTAATGCTGCTGGAATCTGAGGCTGCTTGGTAGCCGACAAGTGTGGAGCAGTTGGAGGCATTCCCTGTTTTTGCCTTGCTTGTTGAGCCTTGCTCGTAGTAGGGGTAACAGGAGCAGCCAGTAGGAGGAAGCTTTTACACATCCCTTCAAGTCTCCCAGCCACAAAGAGTCCGTGATGCAGAGGACAGGACGTTCATATAGCTTAAATATTAGGGTGAACTTTGTGACCTCCGTTAGTGGGCCTTAATTAGCAACCATTTGGCTCCTTATAATGGGTTTGTTGCCCGGCTTTGACAGGCTGCTCCTGCTGGACCTTCCTCTTGCTGTTGCAAAGGCCCTAAAGCTTAACGCTGTCCCAGACTTGCTGGTGAGCAGCAAGGCAGATGTGTTTTGAGATGCTCTGTGAGGAGCATCTAGTGAGCACCTGCTGGGAAGCCTGTCTGGAGCAGATAGTCTTGGCTCTGTATGGAGCCTCCTGCTCTGTGTGCTGACTGCCTGTGTAATTTGGGGCTATTAACATGCTTGTATCCCAGGGATGTCCCCTGTCCCTGGCACACTGTCATTTGGAGGCTAGCRTGGAAATTTTGGTCCTTTTTTCTTGATCTTTTAATGAAGGAAGTGTGGCAGAGATGCAAATGATAATCCCGTGGGATAGGGAGCTTTTAGATGAGGGCAGAAAAAGGGAACAAAATAGGGAGCCATGTAGTGTATTTCTGACTGAAAYTGAGGACAAGGGAGCATCTTGGGCATGGGTGGCAGGCTGAGCAGCTGCAGCTCGTGTTTGGGCCCCTGGATGCCACAGGCTGCCCTGTATTGACTATTGCCAGCTCAGTCAGACTCCAGTAACCTAACGTCACGATCCTGTRCTCAGAAACAGGACTGAGGTGATTCACTTTCTGTGGTGTCCAGCCCAGTGTGGGGCAGTAGCCTACAAGAGACGGCCCATTCCTTGGGGTTTTATTTGCTTGCTAATTTGCAAATGTGAATTTTGAGGTAGTTCTGTGCAGGCAGGGAGGGGAGGCTTCGTGCAGCTGAATCCTGTCTGCTGTCCTTCAAAAGCTGCTAGATTTGGGGGTGGATCAGAGCTCAGTTCAGTGGGGCTGCCGAGTACCTGCAAAATGGCACAGCTGGGGAGGGGCCACAAACCTGCCGCTGTGTTGTGCGACTAGAGGAACTAGTTAGCTGGCTGTTCTTCCAAAACGTGCCCTGATACAAACTAAACTTTCGAACAACCAGAAGAAAATAATAAATCATTGCCAAGATTTTCTTTTTTAATTATTATTTTTGTTAGTGTGCCCTTGGCTAGACTGAAGGCTTCCAAACTCTTCTGAGGCCTGCAAACTTTTCATTGAAGGACTGTCCCTGATAGCGGCACCTGGGGGGTGTTTGGCACTGTTTTCCACAAATTGGGTGAATAAATCACTGAAAAGTCACTGGTCTGTCCAGCACTGGGAAGAGAGGTAGGATTAGGGGAGAGCAGGGAAGGCTTCATGGCTCATGTTCAGTTAGGGTGGCTTCCCTGCATCCCATGAAGGAGGCAGATTGCATCTACTACCAGAATTTATCCTTCCTCTTCATAACTGSACATCTTCTCTTCAAATTTGCCTCATCTCACGCAAATTTTGGGGGTATTTGGGCAACTTAAGGCCACGATTTCTTTTTGCTGCCCCAACAGTTGGCTTTGTCTGCTCTGCCATGTCTGGGCTCCTTTATTTGTCTATCAGTTTTCAGCAACTTTCAGCAATTTTCTTCTTGCAGTGGAGCGGACTTATTGGCAGTGAATGCGGATGGCAACATGCCATATGACCTCTGTGAAGATGAGCCAACCCTGGATGTCATTGAGACCTGCATGGCATATCAAGGTAAGGAGACCAATTACACGTGAGCTACCTAAGCGGGCCAGTGTGGTACTAAAAATTGCCTTGATTTCCCCCTGGAGAAAAGCAGAGAGCCGCTGTGTGRCACAGTTTCTTGCAACCTAGCTCTGTCTAGTGTCTCTGATGGGTGGTGAAGGACGGCTGTCAGTCCCCTCAGCCATGCCACCCTCCCTGACAAGGGTGGAGAGTCACATCAACCAGGAATTAAATACAGCTTTCCTTGGTCAATGGAGACAGAAACCATTTTCTGTTCTTCTTTCTGGCTGGAATTTTCACAGGAATTACGCAGGAAAAGATCAACGAGATGCGGGCCGCCCCGGAGCAGGTCATGATCTGTGACATCCATGACATACTGGCCACTGGGCAGGACCTGAACAGGACTGATGCCCAAGGTGCTACGCTGGTGAGTGAAACTGCTGTGGTTGCCCCTTGATTCTCCTTCAGCCTCCACGTTACGAAACCTTCCCTGCAGCAGGAGGTCATGGAAAACCACAAGGTGCAAGTTCAGTGAGAGGAGACCAGTTGGTCCTTTCCCCTGATTATTGCCACATGGGAACAGGCTCTGTTCATGAGTGCAGCTGGCTTAAGCAAGGATCTAGCTTGCAGTTTCTGAAGAAAGTTTCATGTTCGTGTCCCTAGTTCATGATTCTCTCTCATCCAGCAGCTCAGAGGCTGCCGGGCTCCTGAGTCATGTGTGACAGTAATTGGTAGCAGCTTCTTTGTAAGGTCCAAGAAATCCTGCGATGAGGAGATGGAGAACATGGTCTCTCGCCACGCTCAGGGCTTGAAAGGCCTCCCAGGAATGTTTCACTTCTGGCTAACGCTGTTTGCATTGACCTGCATGGGAGCTCAGGAGAGTCCTCTGACTTCAATGGGAGCAGGATTGGGCGCTGGGCCCCCTGGTGACTTGGTCTCCTCTTGTCTTTCTGCTTTGCCTCGTGTCTAGCGCAGGAGGAAGCGTTGTGTTTATTCCCCCAGGATGGCCCTGCTTGGGCAGAGAGGTACAACGTACAGCACAAGGCAACTGGACCTCTGGTTTGGCTGGGCAAACCCATCCAGTCAGATAGACTCGGATGACAGAAGTCTTTATTCCATCTTATTTTCTCACTTGTTTCTCCCTTTAGCAGAGATTACATATATAATTTTAAGCAGACCTCTTGACTTCTCTTTTTATATGACTCCTGCTTTGCTTGTGGGGATTCTAGCTGCCTTCTAGCAGCCCTGGAGAACTGGTAATGATTTTACCAGCTCTTGGCATCAGATTCAAACTTTGTTTTTCAGAGCATTACTGAAAGTCGATTCCTTATTAATTTCTACAACCTCCAGAAGATACTACCCACAGTAATAAAGTCTGGATAGAAAATATTTGAATTGCCAGCAAGCATCAGCATTTGTTACCAGCATTTGCTGAATTTGGAGTGTGATCCATGTGGAAATGTAAATAGGGAAGTTTTTATTCTCCTCTTCAGCACAGCTGAAATGGGATGATATCTCCAGAATAGCTCATAGATCAATGTTTTGCTCATTAATGTGGCATCAGACAAGTATTATGGAAACCTCCAGAGATATAAGTGTCTTGGTGAAGTTCAGGAGACTCTTACTGCTCTTTCAAAGTGATCGATGCAGTTGGAGACCCGTATCTGAGAAATCAGCCCCCTTAACTACAAGTAGACGGGGATTTAGATGGCTCCATTCTTTTGAATGGTGAAAGCAGCCACAGTGTGAATGGAAGCACAGCTGCATGAAGGGAGTCCTGGTTAAAATGGGCTGAAAATTTGTTCAAAAAATCAGCACTTACTGGAGGGAGAGGAGAATCTTCTACCGTGAAGATTGCAGAGCTTACCAGGATGGTGGGCTCCATTCCAGGCTTTTGTTTGGATGGTGCTGGTTACTTTCAGACTGGAAAGTGCTTAGAAGGCCTTAATTTAAAAATTGAAACCATTCTTCTTCTAACACAGATACGTAGGTGATTTTAGGCACAGTTTAGCATTTTCATCTCCAAATAGAATTACTTGCTAATACTGAGATTCAGGATCAGGTGCAAGCTGTCTCTGGCTTGATGGAAGTGCATCTGCCAGGCATAAAATGTGCCATGAATCCAAACCTAAACTCAGGCATTATCCAAGCAATTCCAGTTCAACTCAATGTGGGGAAAACAAAAGCATTCCTGGTCCTCACGGGGGATTCCTTGTCTCCTAGCTCCATATAGCTGCAGCCAATGGTTACCTGCATGCAGCTGAAGTCCTCCTTGACCAAGGGGCAAGCCTGGACGTGAAGGACTGGGACGGCTGGGAACCTCTCCATGCTGCTGCTTTTTGGGGCCAGGTAATCATTTATTTTGCAAATGTCTTGTGAGGGTGCCATAAGGGGCTTTCTGCCTGGGTGAATTGAGGACTTCTCTAGAAATTAAAATTTCTTTTGTACAAAGAAATCTGTGCAAGCTGGACTCRCTAGCTGTGGGTAGGTGACTTCTTTCTGGTACCAGAGCTTTTTGGGCTGAGAAGGCTCTGGGAGAGGATGTGTGTGCAGCTGGCTGGTACACAGCTCAGTGCAGAGAACGGTAGGAGCTGTGCTTGACATCTCACATGTACCAGAAGAATTTTAGGCCAGTTTGGTCATACACACTAATGCTTCTTAGCTTATCCTAACTTTTCAGCTTTGAGGCAGAAAACAGCTGCCAAAAAGACCACATCAACTTTATTTTTTTTCCCCTTTTCTATAGATGCAAATGGCAGAGTTGCTTGTATCGCATGGGGCCAGCTTGAGTGCCAGGACATCTATGGATGAGATGCCAATAGGTGAGTTTGCTAAGCTCATAGATGAGATCAAAGACACCAAGAACAAAACTTTTAGAGATTTTTTTTTCCACCTCCTAAGCTGGCTGGAGTCTTCAGATGGTGCTCTCAAAAGTGTTTTAACACTTCATTTTTTCAGATGTCTTTAGAATCAAAGTTGCAGTGACTTTAAATAGGTCAAGGTTTTAAAGTGCCTAATTTGTTCTGGGTGCTTCAGAAAGTGCTTCCTCTTGACCACATAAAAAAAGAAGGCATAAGGTTTTTTGTTCTGCATTTAACCCATTCTCATCATCCTTGCTTACCTGCAAGCCTAAAACTTGGGTATCTGGGTGTGATAAAGTATTTGGGGTTGGAGAGGAAAGAGAAAACGTGCAGTAATCTTGGAACAGGTTGGAAGTGGACGTGCCAAAGTGCTAGCATCTGACTACGTGCATTCTAAACTTGTGCGGCATTTCCTAGTGACAAATGGTTTTCTGAGCCTTAACTGTAAACCTGTGCATCCTCATTTTGAAGAATGAAAGTTCTTCCTAACCTGCTCTGCTTTTATCTCCTCTCTCATTTTGGAAGCTCACAGCTGCTTGAAGCATTGAGATAGGATCATTGTATCTCTTACCCTTTCATGGGTAAAGATGCAGCTTGCTGTGAACAACAGGACACAACCTGGCTGACAAGCTGGGGCAAAGTTGATGYGGGGACACACAGTTCCATCCCTGTCACACTCAGCAGCTCTTGTTTTCTCATGCTGTTCATCCAAACCAAMCTGCCTCTTCTAAACCCCTTGGTTGTGACTAAACCCACTCTGATTAAATTCCCTTTCTGTTTATCCTATCCACTGGGGGCATGTGTACCAAGTTGGTGACACAGCAGCAAGGATACCATGTTAGAACAGCCTGACAACGGCTTGCTTTGTGTGCGCCTTAGATCTGTGCGAAGAAGAGGAGTTCAAGGTGTTACTTCTGGAGCTGAAACACAAGCATGACGTGATCATGAAATCCCAGCTGAGGCACAAATCCTCCCTGAGCCGAAGGACCTCCAGCACCGGCAGTCGGGGGTACGTGCACTTTTCCAGGTTGTCCCTCCAGAGCAGCTTTGGAGGTCAGCGCGCTGGGAACGAGCCCCTCTGTCCTGGGGGTACAAACCCCCAAAACACAGGCGCTGCTATTGCAAGCAGAGCCCCCTTGGAGGTTGGGGTTCCTTCACTGGTAACAGATTTTGACTGTCGTGTGAAAGGGGCTCTGCGATGCTTGAAGGGCCTCTGTGGCCAGAGCACCATGTGGTGAGAGTTTACCTGGGGACACTGTGCCTGCCAAGCAGTGCTTCAAATGTGAGCTTCTTGGTAGCTGCAGTGAGGAAGGTGCAGGGGAAGGACAATGAGGCTCATGGCCACAATACTGTGTTAGGAGAGGCTTTATGAGAGGTTTGCTGGACATCAAAGCAGCAGCTCTCAAGCTGCAGAGCTCCCGGAACAACCCGTGGGCCCCTCTCTGTGTTCACTCTGGCTGCAGAGTGGGTACGTGAGGGGCGCTGCGTGCCATCTAAGCCAGGCTAGCAGTGCCTCCTTTAAAGCTCTTCAGGATTCCTCCCACCTTCGACGCACAAGTTTGAGCCCTTGGGTGCTTGCTGTGGGTGCAGGAAGCTGCTTTCCTGCCCCACTGCAGCAGGAGATGCTATGGGGTGCAGGGCGGGTGCGAGAAGGGCTTTGGGGTAGGAGGGAAGCCCGTGTCGCGCTCCCGGCTTTGAGGCTCCTTTCCCTCCTCCGCAGGAAGGTGGTGCGGAGGGCCAGCCTTTCGGACCGAACAAACCTCTACAGGAAGGAGTGCGAGAAAGAGGCCATCGTCTGGCAGCAGATGGAGGCAGCCGAAGAGCAGAGAAACTCAGGCCTCGTCGGAGAAATGGGGGAGACTCGGTCCGACCAGGAGAACACGGACCCCGTAAGGAGGCGCTTGTGTCCCGTGGGAGGCACGGAGYGGGGCTGGGCGGCGGGTCGACGCAGAGGGAAAATATCCCTATGCCTCATCCATCAGATTAAAGAAAAAGACCCAATTCCCTGGAATATCCCACTGAAGTGGAAAGACTGGAAAAAAYGGTTGTCATCATGGGTGTATTTCTCTTCACAGTTAACAGACTGGCAGTGACAAAAGGATGTCATCTTGCTCTGCAGTTATTKGTTTTTAATTCAGTTATTGTCATGTTGTATTAACAAGCTTTTTATGCTAATACACACAGAGACACACATAAAGTTACATAGAGAGAGAGGATTTGAGGGGGGCTTGTTGGCTTTGTTTTTTTTTTCCTCCCCAAGCAGCTTGTTCTRAGTGGAAGTTTCCACATTCCTGGCTGGAAGCCGCTGCATTATAGGGCCCTGGGTGAACTCAGTGGTTTTGAGCAGTGCTGGGGYGTGCAGGAAGATGCTTTTCTTTAATGTTTTCTTGTTGCAGAACTCAGTGCTGGACAACTCCTCCCTGCTTCCGGAGCTGGCAAACAAAAGYACCCAGTGCGATGCAGAAATCCCCCTCCAGAATGGACTCAGGGCTTCYGCCAGCACCTACCCCTACACCTTTTCCAACGGGGACGTTTGGAACATGGAGGTTGAGCCCGAGGGCAACCCGGGCCACATGCTGCCCTACGGCGCGCCGGGGCTGCCCGACCCGCAGCAGCTCTGGGGCGCCTACAAGGAGCACGGCCCCCAAACGCTCTCGGAACTGAAGCGGCAACGGGCTGCAGCCAAGCTCCTCAACCACCCCTTCCTCAGCACCCACTTCGGCAGCGGCGCGGGAGGCGTCGCCGAGCACGGCGGCGAGGCCAAGTCGCACCTGATGGCGTCCAGGACTTCCCCCTACAGCACCAACGGCACCTCCGTGTATTACACGGTGTCCAGCGGTGACCCGCCCCTCTTGAAATTCAAAGCTCCCATGGAGGAGATGGAAGAGAAGGTGCACGGGTGCTGCCGGATTTCCTAGTCTCGCCCTGTCCCTCGCGCCCGAGGAAAGCCAGCGTGGGCGGGCTGCTCGGCTCCACCGCAGAGGCYGCGTTGTTTGCACTCCAAGGGCAGAATTTGGGTACACACATCCTGGCTGCAGCAGCCTTGCCCGTTTTGAACTGTACTTTGCCCTAGCAGTTACTTCCATTGCTGGTGAATGAGTGTTGCAGGTGGAGCAGGGCTCGTGGGAGAGCAGCGGGTGCCCTATCAGTGCCCTAGTGCTGCTCCCTGGGGAGGAAGGTTGGGCACCCTGCTTCCCGATCCCTGCAAACTCCTCAGGTGGCTTCGGCAGAAGAGACGACCTCAAGGAAAATCCCTGCAGCTTCTTGCTGCAAGCCAACAAGCTTCTGGAAGGTGCCACTTCAGCCCCGAATTCTCTCCTGGGTGCAATGCAGGTGGCCCTGGAAGGCAGCTCAGCCCCCACGCAGGGTCTGCAAGAGCAGCCTGAGCCCTTGCTGTGCGGTGGGATCCAGAACGCAGCAGGGGCTCAGCGAAAGGGGTGCAGACACTGCGCTCGCCTTAGGACATTTGCAAGGTGGGGGTTCCTCGCAGTGACAGCTCATCTTTAGAAACCTGCCTGGGGCCTGTTCTGCTGAGATAAACCAGTCGCTGCCGACCGTCATCAAGCAGGACCCTCCACGGAGCAGGCGCCGCCGAACAGGCTTGAAAACTGATGTTGCAATAAGGGGCCCTGGCAATAGAATTTTACTGCAATAAAATACTGACAAAGGTCTATATTGGGATAAGTAATTTAAAAAAACATATTTGTACTATTTAAACTCTTAATTTGTTAAAACTGGACAGACTTTTGCTGATCTCACTTTCATATTGATTCTGTTTGTTTACTCCGAGTGCTCGGGGCAGTCTGCTTTGTGTCCTGACTCCCTGCCTTGGGAGGGATGAGGAGGAGGAAGGGCTCGCTGCACTAACCCAGAAATGCCACAGAAGCATTTCTGATCTCCCTAGATTTTGCGATGCTCTTGTGCTAACGTTCTTTGGCTGATAAACAGGTAGTTTCTGTTGTTGCTCCGGTGGTTGGGCATTGCAACAGGGCGAAGACGGATGGTTTTGTTGTTGTTTTTCCAGCTTCCGTGCTGAATTCAGTGGCAGTGGCTGCTCGCTGTCAGAATGGGGTTTAATGCCCCCTGTATATTGCACACATGTGAGTCCAGCTCCCCTGCTGAGCCCCGTGCTGTAGCCACAAGGCTCCGCGATGCAGCTCAGCCTGGCAGCCCCGGTGCCTGCACAGCCTGTTAGCCCTGCAGACACCAGGGTGGTGTCCCCTGGGGTCTGCGCGTTGCCTCTTCTCCTCAAGTCCTTGCATAGAAGAAGGAGGCAAAAGGAGATTCCCCCTGTGGAGACAGCTCAGARGAGCAGCCGCAGCTGAGGTAACAGCAGTACCTGCGGGAGCACGGGTAGCTCTTCTCACCCTTCTCTGGCACTGAGAGAAGCTCTTGCACTCCTAACCATTTGCCTGCAGGAGTATGTGTCTCCTCAGGTAGTTTCAATCCCAGGCTCTGGAAACACGTTGGCTTTGTGTCTGTGTAAGCCAAATCCTGCTTCCAGCAGGGTGTCTGCTGCAGCAGGCAGCGTCCAGTCCTTTTCCTGTTAGCTGGCAGCTAGGCATCAGTATTGCCTGTTTCTTTGCAGAGATTCACGCACAAGGTCCCTATCAGGGAATCCCATGTTCTTCAGGGAATCCCATGTCCTTTTTTTTTTTTTTTCCTTAATAGTTTTAATAATAGAAAAAAAAAAGATATTTAGTCTAAAATGAACTGTTAATTGCCACCACCACTCCCCATCACCTAGAAACACTGTTCACTACTAAGGGGCTAGTCAAGGGTGTATGTACTGAGGGATGGGAACCAGTCTGCAGTGGTATCAGGAGCAGTAAGTGAAGGAGCAAGGAGAGCCTGGGAGGGGTTTCAGGTGGGTCTCCGTGGGGGAATGTCCTCTCCGTGTTTTATGTGGCAGCTTTGCTCCATGGTGACATGGGCCTGTGTCTGAAGCTGGCGTCACCATGCAGGGCTCTGGTCTTCTCCTCCTCTAAAACCCTACCCTAAAAAGCTACCACAAACCCAAATACCTTGGGATCTCTGAGGTTATTACCAGGCTGACGATTGTTTGAAACACCGAGGATTTGGTTTCCTTATCAGTTTAGGAATAAATTAGAAAAAGGGAACAGCAACACCTCTATCCTGTCTGCCTTACGTCCTGGTTTCTGGTGGTGTGCACGAGTGACCACTCTGTCCTTCCCTTACTCGAATCCATACATTAAGTATCAAACTTGAAAACACTTCTTGTGCTTTACTGGCCCTCAAGGGGATTCAAACGTTGCTTTCTGGTTGAGATAAGTTGGTTTGATAGCTGGAGGCTTTACAGCATTGACGGTGGCTGTTAAGAGCGGGTCTTGGGATTACCCTAAAGAAAATTCGTGTGGGAATTCAGGAATCAGGGTAACAACCTTTGGTGCTGCTGGTTGCTGGGTTGCAAGTGGTGCAAAATCCGGGACCAGATGATGCCTCTCCAGCCATCCCTCCCCTAGCAGGGAGGAGTTAGGTCTCCTTGTGAGAGCACTTTTGTGCTGTTGAGTAGGTTGGGTCATACCAGGCAAATGAAAAGCAGACAGTTGAATGCAATTATGTGAGCTAGTTTAAGGCTTGTGAGTAGTTAATATATTAAACCTGCATGAAGCCTGTCTGTTTTAGACAACTTTCATTTCATCAGTATTTCACTCTATTTATACATAAAACTCCAGGCATTCATTATGCTAGCTGTGATCTGAGCAAAGCAACAACTGATTTATGATTAGGAGGAAGATATTACAGGTTGTAGGATGTAACAGTCCAACTCCAGGGATGTTTTATATTGCAGCTGTCAAATTGGCAGCAATGGAGCTCTTCTAGCTTTATGAGCGCCCTCACTCTGGTGGTGTCTGATGCACCATGAAAATGATTATTAGAAAAGAAAGTGAATAGCTGATAAATATTACAGGATATGTTTCATGGTAAAGGCAACTAATTGTCAGCCACTGGGTTTGGGTTGGAAGTTGCATCCAAGTGGCATTTCCAAGGATTGCTAAAGACCACCCAAAGTGGAGCGATGCTTTCCCTGTTAGGCAGATCTGCACACAGGAACAAACCTTCTGCTTGAAAAATCTTCTTAGATGTTGAAGTCTTAGCGTTTCTAGCAAACCAACTGGTTGATGAGCGCAGTTTTAGTCTCCATGTTAGAAGACTTTATTCAGACGCGAATCAGTGTCTCTGCTTTGCTGAGACTCCACCAAGAAGTCCCGGGAATGGATCGTTAGAAATCTCACTACAGTTGCTGAGATTTCTTTGGCTTCAGACCCGCATCTGTTTTTCACGGACCAAATGTGGTAGTTTTAGCCCAATTAYTCCCATTTTGTGGTGCTCCAGGACCTGAAAGCAGTTTCCATTCTGGGGAAGAACTGCCTTTTGCTGGTTGATTCTGTACCACCTTGTAGGCATGATGTTGAGCAGCTCCTGCTAGGGAAGGAGCTAGAGAGCATAGCAGGGAAATAGCAATAACAAATTGGTGCAATACCCAGGAATAACTCTACTAATTCTCTAGGATACTGAGATGGGTTGCAGATGAGAGTGCTCATCTCCCAATTTTCCACCCAGGAGATGGAATTCTGTGTAGCATCCTTTTTGATCTAACATTGGACATCTGATTCCACCACTTTTCAAAGTTGGACCAAATCATCAATACCATGAAACAGGAGAGAGYGATGGGATCGTTTTCTAGGGATCCTCATGGATTAGCTGTTATTTGCTGGAAGGCGTTCCCCCTCTGTCTGGATATAGCTGTGCCTTATCATAGTTGCTAGAACGAGCTCAGTGACTTGTCCTCCAAAACGTTTGTGGTGACAATACAAGGCTGTTTTGAATTCTAATATTATTTTGCAAAGGGAAAACTGTTCACAGCACGCTGTATTTTGCAAATTTTACTTGCTCTTTCATTTCTCATGATCACCTTTCTTCCTTTCATGCAGAGATGGCAAATATTTAAAAGTGACTTCATCCTAATTTAACAGATCACATCAGTCAACTTTGTGACAACAGTTCTCTGCAGACAGGGTCCAGAGCATGCTCGTGGTAGCAAGAGCTGACTTGTTAYTACAGAGCACTGTTAATATTTGGATTTGGGGGGATTTTTTGGCTTTGTCTGTGGCTGTACAATGGTAGTTCCTGGCTGTTCTCCAGCTTTACATGTTGCTCCAGCTGCAGAGGGACCCATTAAAGCCTCACATGTGATTAGAGCAAGACTGGGATCCGTGGCAAAATGAGAGCTTGGAATAAGGACTTTGGGGGAATTTGGGGGGAAAAGAGAGGATTTATGGAAAAATGCAGCCATGGTAGGCCCACTTCTTGCTCCTCAGCCTCAGATCAAGGATATAGAGGGAAAAATAGTGTCCATAGCCCTTGTACAGCTACACTGGATTGCTGCAGGGGGTCCAAAAGTGGTGGCAAGCCCTCTGCAATAACCACTAACTCCATYGACCGGTAGTAAGTGATGTACAAATAAAACTTGATGAAAAGTATTTTATGTGAAAAAAAAAAAAATAATGTAAGAACTGTATATTGTATTAGCAGCTTTGTGTATAAAATGGCATTTTTGGCAATCAGAGTCTAATATATTTAATTTTCTTTTTTGTTTTTTTAAGAGGATATTTGATATTGTATGGAACTGACTTTATTGCTATTCTAAGTATGGAAAGATGGTTTCTTAACATATYGAAGCGATGTGTAAAATCCTAAAAGCGCGTGTAAATCTCATGCCAAAAGAGTATGCCCGACAGTATTAGCACCTGACTTCAGTGTCTTTAATAGAGAGAATGAACTTTTTTTAATTTAAAAAATGTATTAAATTTCTTTTAATAATACCAAAACAGAAAGCTGGTGATTTGGTTTTGTTTTTTTTTTCCCTGGATTTAGTCGTTTCCGCGGCCCCTCGGCCCGGCGGGGCTGCYGCGGGTACCCGCGTTGAGCACCGGGCTCTGCGCCCCGTGAGGGAAGCGCCTGAGGCGGGAAACGCCTCATGGAGGAAACGCCCCCTGAAGGAAACGCTTCAGGCGGGAAACGCCTCCTGAGGGAAGCGTCTCGGTCGGGAAACGCCCCATGGAGGAAACGCCCCCTGAGGGAAACGCTTCAGGCGGGAAACGCCTCCTGAGGGAAGCGTCTCGGGCGGGAAACGCCTCCTGAGGGAAACGCACCATGAGGGAAACGCTTCCTGAAGGAAACGCCTCATGGGGGAAGTGCCTCCTGAGGGAAACACCCCATGAAGGAAACGCCCCCTGCAGGAGGTGCCCCATGAGGGATACGCCTCTTGAGGGAAGCGCCCTATGAAGGAAACGCCTCCTGAGGGAAGCGCCTCAGGCGGGAAACGCCCCATGAGGGAAGCGCCGGGAAAGGAGCCGGGCGGGGCGCGCTGCAGCGCAGCCAACGAGGGCGCGGGGCGGAGCGCGGCCGCCCCAGTGGCGGCGGCGGCGCGGCCCCTGTTTGGATTCAAAGCGCCTATAAAGGCGGCCGGAGCGGCGCTGGTGGCCGTGGCGGCGTCGCGCGATGGCGGCCGAGTCGCAGTGCCTGGAGGAGGGCGCCGGGCTGTGGCCGCCGCGCCCGCCCGCGCCCTACAGCGAGGCTCAGCGGCTGGCGCTGGAGGCGCTCGTGGCGGGCGGCCCCGCGGCGCTGCGCGCCTTCCTGCGGCGGGAGCGGCTGCCGCCCTTCCTGTCGGAGGCCGAGGCGCGGGCCCTGGCGCGCCGCGCGCTGCCGCCCGCTGCCGCCGAGGAGCGCGCGGCAGAGACGGCGCTCGGCGCCTCGCTCGACGCCTCCTCGCTCACCTACTTCCCCGAGCGCTCGGACACGGAGCCGCCCGCACTCGAGCTGGGCTGGCCGCGCTTCGCGAGCGGCGCCTTCCGCGGGCTCACGCGCGCCGAGGCGCATTTCCAGCCGGGCTGCGGCGAGCGCCGCTACGGCTGCAAGGAGGCCGTGCGGCGGCAGATCCGCTCCGCRCGGCAGGTGAGTGAGCGCGGCCGCGGCCTCGGCGCCCCCTGCCCGCCTCGAGCCCTCCCAGACTCTGTGCCGTTGCTCGGGGCCCTCTCGTGTTCTGCAGCCCTTTGCAGGTGTCCGGACCAAACGCTTTAATCGCCCCCTAATGACACCCCGCTTCTTTCACCTCTGCTGSTCCAAGGCTCCTTTTAGAAGCACTCCCGCTCTGCAGGCACGGATTTGGTTTCCAGCCCAATTTGTCTGACAATGGGGCTGAGCTATGGTAACTTGTAGCTGCATCCAAGCTCCTTGCAGTGCCTAAACCTGCAGCCCTCCAACTGCGATCCCGGGCGGGAACCACCTTTCCCAGAGCAGCCCTGAGATTGGCTGAGTTTAAAATTTAAAGCGTAGCTTCCTCCTAGGTGCCATCACCCGGCTCCATTCGCAGCCTGCGCCTGTCTCGGGCACCTCCCAAATCCACAGTCGGCTTCTTGCCAGAAACCGTCACTCATGAAGCTGTTCTCACAGGTTGACTCTTAAATAGGTGAGACCAGGGTGATTCAAGGAAGTGCTGGAGAAAGCTTCTCTTTTTCCAAATGCTGTCCTTGCCTGTAGCCTCCGCTGAAGCTCCTTCCCTAATGTGGAGCCAACAGCCCCATTCTGCTCGCTGTGGATGCCTGGAGCAGGGGATGCCCTGTTCCTGGCAGCTGCTTTGTGCACTCAAAGGTGAGGGAAAAGCCACCCCCTCTGCCTGTTGCTGATATCAGATGTTCTCTGGTGTTCCTCAGCCAGTGCTGAATCCTCAGAATTCATGTGCGTGCGATTAAAGCTCCAGGTGCCGTTTAGTCCCTTTGCAGCTTGATAGAATGGGTGCAGCCTGAGTGGTGAGTGGACCATACACTGCCTCTCCTTGGGATTACCCAGTCTGGAGAAGAGGAGGCTCAGAGGAGGCCTTACCGCTCTCCACAACTACCCAAAAGGAGGTTCTGGGAGGCGGGGGTCCATCTCTTCTCYGGAAGAGCCAGAGAGAGGACAAGAGGGAATGACTGCAAGTTGCACCAGAGGAGGTTCAGGTTAGACATTAGGAAGACTTTTTACATGGAAAGAGTGGTGAGAAATTGGAACAGGCTGCCCAAGAAAGTGGTGGAGTCGCCATCAGTGCTGCAGACCATGTAGATGAGATGAGGTGCTTAGGGACAGGGTTTAGCAGGCCTGGTGGTGATGGGCTTAGGGTTGCACTCCATCATCTTGAAGATCTTTTCCAACCATAACGGTTCTGTGATTCTGCTGTCCAGAGTGGCCAGAGGGGCTTTAATGTGAATTGTGCACTTATTGTCCTGTTTCCAGTGGCTGGTGTTGCCAAGTGCACCTGACTCCTAYCTTCCTTTGGCCCTCAGCCAGGTGATAGGGTGGAAAAGGCAAGAGAAGCCAAAGCATAAGCTAGCTTATCTAMAGATGTCATAAAACAGATTATCTATAGATGTCAGCCAGGTTCCTAAGGAGCTGAGCAGAGGTGTGAATGCCAAGCTGAGGCTGTTCCTGTGGGAAATGTGTCCTGTGAGGGGTGGCCCTGCCGCACATGCTGCTCTTCTGCAATCTGTGCAGCCTGAGGCTGCAGGGGAGGTGCTGGGGGGGAGCAGGGCAGGTCCCAGTATTGCAACCGTTGGGCAATCGCCCTCCTTGAAGCTGCTCTAATGGGACAGCAGCTGAGGGACAAAGGAAGGTAGGAGWCAGGCCGATACCCGAGTTGTGCACGTGTTTGCCTCTCAGCCACCTTTTCCCTGTTGTGACGTTCAGGAGCCCCAGTGCGGAAGCAAGGTGTGATGTTGGTCTGAGCTGTCTGGAAAGGTGGTTGGTGAACAGATGGTTGTTATCCTGTCTGTGGCCTGTTGAAAGGCTCTCAACTCATCCTAGGGTCTCCTATCTAGAGGACTCTTTCCCACAAGCTTTGAAATGCTCTTTCCTGGCTCCTACTAGATCCATTCTGTTTATCCATCATTACAGACACACTCTTTTGCTAGTTTATCCCTTGGTAGATTCTCTAKCGAGAGGGGTGCATCCCTACCAGAGGGTTTGAAGAGAAAATAGCCAAGGCAGGTGAGATATCTACCTGTGATAGAGAGGGAGGCCAGCGGTAGCATCCGAGTCACACAGGGAAGCCTTGAGAGAAGAGCAGAGCGTAGACTCTAGGATGAGACAGTTTTTTGTTACTCATACAAGTACTAGAGTACGACCACAGTAAAAAGGGCTTTGGTGAGGAGCCAGGTTTGTTTATCCTGGTGTAGTGAGAGCTGAAGGSTGGTGCTCCAGAGGGAGCAGCCCAACTCTTAAGGCTTTGATATCAGCAGTAGAAAATGGCTGTGGGAGGCGAGAGTCTAGTCTGGGGTAGTGTGATATAAAGCTCTTAAACAAGTATTGCCTTCTTTTCTTTGCAGGTAATTGCCCTTGTGATGGATTCCTTCACAGATATTGATATCTTTGGTGACATCCAGGATGCCTATAAGAACCGTAAAGTGCCAGTCTATATCCTTCTGGACCAGGACTTTCTCCCCCATTTCTTGGAAATGTGCGAGAATTTAGGAGTCTGTCCTGAGCAGGAAAGTGTAAGTGCTCAATACGGGGTGTGTGTGTCAAGGAAGAGCTTATGAAAGAAAAACAGAAGAGATGTTAAGCTCGAGGGTAGTTTGGCTTTGGTGACATCTCTTTTCTTTCCCAGTACCCAGCTGTTTTATTTGAAAGGGGTTGGCATCCATGTGGTGTGAGCAATGTGGTGGCATGGTTAGTTCCTCTGCTTGTGCATTGGCACAAACCTGTTCTGTCTTGGCTTGGGCAAACTCGTGTTCATGCCAGCAAGAGTTTCTCAAGGCTGGGAAGCCCTCCCAGCTTCATGCCCGACCTCACAGGCAGCGATTTATTGGAACTGGCTGTTCCCTCCAGGCTGCTTCTCCACAGGYTCCTAATCCAATGGAAACAGAGCCCCATGTGACTAGTAACACGCCTTGCGGACCAGTATGAGGAAGCCCATGTTATTCCTCTCTTTTGCGCTGTGTCTAAATGTTTCTGTGTGGAATTTCTGATCAAAACTTTGGGAAGCCAGCCTGAATGCGTTGCTTATTTCTTTCTCTCTTCCAAAACAGATGCTGAGAGTTCGGACACTCACTGGAAACACGTACTACATGAGGACAGGGGCCAAAATTATTGGGAAAGTCCATGAGAAGTTCATGTTAATTGATGGCATCAGAGTGACAACGGGCTCTTACAGGTGGGTGTTGGTGTGTGTTGGTGCAAGGCAAAGCTTTGAAAGGGGGCAGTTTTGGAAAGATGGGTAGATCAGCTTCGCTCCCTTTCAGGTATTAATAAATACCAATGTCTAGCAGACTAGCTGGGTCTTGGTAGGACTAACACAAAGGTGGGAACATCTCTGGAAATCTGAACACAACTTGCATGTTTGCACACAYATAGTGGTATGTATCTAACATCCAGATTAATCAGCCAGTAAAGCTAGCAGTGTATGAGGTGTCTTGCATAAACTGGTCTGTGTCTTTGTAATAATCCCTTTCCACATCCTAATGGTTTAGTTGCCTGGACCTGGGGTAGCAAAGGGGCTGGTATCTTAGAAGGGCTGTGTTTCAACTGAAAATCAAATCAAGAAATGAAAAATGCTGTTCCTGTCTGTAGTAGATAGCGAACTCAAATGTTTGATTTGTTTCTGATCTGACTGGAAATTAYCTGTGACTGCTGTTAGGCTTTAACACTTCTGACCTAGTCTAGCAGACTTTTGCATATCTTCAGGCAGGCAAATATCTGTATGCAGACACCTGAAAAGAGAGACTCAACAGATGCCCGCTTGCCTTTTTGTTGTGAGATTGAACTGGGAATAGGAGAGAGCGGGTGGCTGGAAGCTGAACTTTTTGCTCGCATTGGAACTATGGAAACTTGCTTTGCACAAAGTTGTCAGCTCAGCTATGAGTAGGGTCTAAACAGGAGTTTCTCTGAAGAAGAGAGTATTCCACTGATTGCATGCAAAGCTCATGCCAAACACATCTAAGCTGAATCATGCCATTTCATGAATAATTATGTGTTGAAACAAGTTTGAGATTAACTTTGATTCTTGGCTTGTTTTCAATAGTTTCACATGGACCGATGGGAAACTGAACAGCAGTAACTTGTTGCTACTGTCAGGTCAAGTGGTTGAACACTTTGATCTTGAGTTCAGGATTCTCTATGCCCAGTCAAATCCTATCAGTGCTAAACGGCCATCAGGCCGCGGGGACAGTGGGATATTTGATCACCTGGTGATCAGAACAGAATCAGCAAAAGAGTGCGCTACGGAAAGCAACCTGAGAGTAGAATTTGCCRGATTCTCTAGTACTCCAAAGAAGCTGTTGAAAGAAATGGATGTGGCTGAAGATACTCCAGGAGAGATGCTTGATAACCTGGGACGTTCTGGCATTGCTGAAGAGGAGTGGGTCAGYGACCTGGAGGCCCCGGTGGAACAGAAGAACGCGTCGACACAAACCAGCCYGTGGGAGGAGAAGCCTGTGGCCGTGCGTGACGTGGTCACGCAGACCAGCGTGGCAACGGTGGAAAGCAGCACTCAAACTAGCGTTGCTGCTAGAATAACGGGCACGCAGACGTCAGTTCTGTTGAAGACGGCGGTGACGCAGACCAGGGAAGCACAGACCAAGGAAGGTGCACGTGCTGAGGTCCCACTGCTTCACCGACAGCTTTCCTCTGCCTCCGGGAAGTCCATATCCAGTCTGCGATCACTGTCTTCATCATCATCGCAATGCTCCTTGGCCAGCTCTACCAGTTCYCTGTCTTCTCTTCGGTCCATTGAGTATCCCGCAGGGCCCAGGGCGGGATATTTCCAAAAGCTGCATAAAGAGAGACAGTTTCACTACTCTACCATCAGGTCGAGGCTTAGCCACATGGTGGATATCCTGTCGCGGAGGGGACGCCTGCCTGAAAACTACCCGAGCCAGTACCCTGGAAGATGCACTCTGAAACAGCGGCGCGACCTCAGTGCCAGCCTGMGAAGCCTCCGAGACGTTTCGCTCTTCTCCCTGAACAGATGACGATGGCTTAGCTGAACGTGGAGCACAAACTCCAGTCCTTTTGGTGCAGTCACTTTATATATATATATAGTATAATATATATGTATATCTGCTACTTCTTAATTCTCCCAGTACTACTTACTTTCACCGATGATACGTGTGACTATCACTTTTCAGCACTTTTACTCTATGCAATTCAAACACTACAAGAAAATGGTTTTATCTGTACTGTAAATACTTGTGTGGTACGCTTGTGTGTATTAGTGGTAGGCATTCATTTTAATAGGGTATGTGTAACCTGAAAAGTAAACTTATTAATAGTTTGTAGGATTGCTGATSTTCTGGCTTTAGGTTATCTAAACCTGGAAAAATCGGAGATAGATGGAACTTGCTCACAGTGACTTTGCAGATTTGTTATATCAATGTATATTCTTTTTTAGTTGTTATTATTACTGGGTTTTATTTCTACTTTATCTTTGGGAGGAGGGAAAATGACCTAATTAAAGATTTGCAGAGTGAATTCTTTTCTAATTCAAAGAAAAAATGAATGCATTACATTAAAGTGAAGGCTCTGCTGGAACASCTGAAGGCCCTTGTGCTTCACTAGATGCTTTTGCCATATTTTAAGCCTTCTGAAGGGGACTAAGCAGTACAGAGGTAACTGTTTATTTGGTTTAATCATCTTCTTATGTCTATGTGTGTGCCTGTGTTAACAGAGCCTCCAGGAGAGCATCTTTAGAAAACAATACCTAGCACCTTAACACCCTGCTATAGCTGTACTATTTTGGGAGAACAGTCATGATTTGATGTTTCTGCTGTTCAAGCCCCAAGAAAGGGGTATAAATTATCTGTAAGAATATTAATGGAAAAGGTACTGCTGCAAAATSTTTTCCTTGTAAGGGGGAAAAGAGGAGATGTTTGAAGGACAGGGTGCCATGCTGCAGTGTTGCAGTGTATCATTGGTACTTCTCTTTTGGGGTTACTTCAAAGAAAATTTTCTTGTTCCTCTTGTTACACAGAACTAAAACATTCAGTCTCAGCTCCTTAACTTGGTTTCCAGTTCTAGCGAGGTCTGGGAGTGTCTGAACCATTTTGTTACCTGTAAGAGACCTTTAAACTCCTTCCTTCTTTGGAGCGAACTTTGGAGCAAGACAAGCACTAAGAGGTGACAGCTCCTGCTAAAAAGCAAAAGGACAAATGCACCACTAAAATGATCTGATAATATTTTCTTATAAGTAAGATGAGCAGATGCAGTCACGGCATTGCCTTAGGCTCCTAAGTATGTGTGGGTGTTTGTTTTAAATCTACCATCTTGAGAGCTGTTACTGACTTMTAGTATTCTGTCAGATTTTATTTTCAACCTATTTTCTTAAGCATTTTCTGGAGTTAGCAATATCTTTGCTCAGCAGCTCAACCTTTCCCCTCCCCTTCCCCCCCCTTTTTTTTTAAGACTTTTGAATAGAAATTTCTATTTAAAGGTCTTCTAAAAGAATAGCGGGACATTCTCAATGCTCTAAGATCAGTCTAACTTTAGCCTTGTGTTTTATAAGCTCCTTGTGAACTGCTTTGGGGCACAAACCTGAAATGGAGTAACTGAAGTGTGTACCTGGGTAGACTGATACCAGTCTGATAGGCCTCAAATTACACGTTCTTCTCACAAAGCCATGCAACAAGCACAACACACTAACATGGCAGGATAATAAAGCTTTTGCCATGACAGATTCTCAACTTTTTAAATTAAAAGAATATTTGGCTTGTGGAATATCCCACTAAATGCATTACAAATACTTGCATGCAAGGGGTAGCATTCTTCAKAATCTGCTGAAGCTTCTAGCTGAGCCAAGTGAGGCTAGTTCCTTGACATTACTTCTCGCTTTTTTATGTCTGGTTCTGGAGTTTGACCAATTCATGGGAAAACTGAGTAGCTCTGAAATCAGAGAAKCTGCTGCTACTTCTCACATGCCTTACTCTTGCTGAATAGGCAATAACAAAAATCATAACTAGACTTTTTTAAGGTTTCACACAAATTCATTGTTTTTTTTGTTTTTAATCCTCTTCTGGGGGGAAAAAAGACAACAAATAATCCACAAATAACTGTATACTGATGCACTGCACTTCTAAGGGACTGAAAACCCGTGTTAACTCAGTGACAGCAGCTGTGCACTTGTGAATGTGCTGTTGAAATCTTGGGTAAGTGCTTAGATATCTAAGTGTCTTGTGGGCCTCAAAGACAAATGGTTAAACTTAGGGTATTTCATAGTACTGGACATCAGCAGGACAATATTAAATAGGATCTGTTATTGTATAGGTTGCCTATTCTATATTATGCCTTTGAAAATAAGAACTGGTCTTCATGTATAATACTGCAGTAAAGCACTGATTAGACTGCAACTAATAAATTGTTTTTCTTCTGTATTTACAATCATGGGACTGTTCTGGTTTTCCTAATCTGTAAGTGTTCAGTAATGTACACTTCAACAGTATAATGCTTACCCTCCTGTAAAGAAGTTTGACATATATTTTTTGGGCTTATGGGAAGCATAGTTACAAGTAAGAATAAAATTAATCTCACTGCTAATTTTGTATGCTGTCATGGTATCTTGTTTTCACAATGGTTACCTGCAGCTCTTTGTTCCACTTATAAAATTATAATTTTAACCTTTAGCTGGCTTGTTCTTTTAATAAACACCTCTTTCCTGGTGCCAGCTCTGGTACAAGTTGCTTGTAGCATGATGATGCAAAATACGGTGGTGAGAGATGAGGTCATTCGTTTTTGAGAGATTTCACACAAAAAAATGCATGAAAACATCTAGAGTTTTAACAAAACCCTGCCTTGAGCTTCAGCATAACAAATGACTGTGGAATTTTCCACATTTTGAAGTTATTAATAAAGATAAGAAAGAATAAGAAGTGGGGGAGTGGTATTAGATTTTCCTGGAATGAGAATTACTGCCTTTTTTTTTTTTTTTTTCCTCTCTCCCAGAGCCAGCATTTTTTTTTTTTTTTAATTTAAATACTCTATTTTTAATACTCCTGCTTGTACTTGATTACCCGAGCTCTGGAATAAATTTGATAGTTTCCTTGACTACACTCACTCTGTGGCAAGACTAGGTTTGATCTTGAAAACTATTATTGCTACAGATTTTCTTTCCAAGCCTTCGGTTTGGTGTTAAGTGCTCTCATTTATGGAGGAAGAGATCAGGTTTATTCAATTTACAAAAAGGCTTTCTGGAGAGTGGGACCCTTAAGTTCTATTAAATTCCAGCACCTGCGCCAGGAGAGAGCACTCGCAGTATCTGGAAAGTATAATGAGAAGATCATGATCGACGGGTTGTTAATTAAAGCCCGGATTAAGCGGCGACGTTGCTGCCGTGAGGSGAAGCGGCGGTAGCGCAGCTTTCGCCTCACAGCTTTTCCCGCCGCGGCCGCGTGACGTAACCGCCCGCGCCCGGCACCATGGCAACGGCTGCGTCACGTAGCCGCCGCTTCCTCCCGCCCTCTCAGGCAAGATGGCGGCGTCCATGGGGCCGGTGAAATTCTGGAGGCCGGGTGAGGGTCGGGAGTGCAGGAATTCGCGCTTGAATACAAGGAAATGGGGGTTATTGTTGAGGGGGGCGGCCAGGAAGGCTGCCCGGCCCGGTGACAGGGTCCCCACGGCCTTGAGCAGTCCGTTGAAGCGGGACGAGGCTCCTTTTCCATGAGGAGGGGCCTATCCGCGCAGTGAGAGAGGCTACTTGGGGCTCTGAGGTTGGGGGTTATTTGTCTTTTTCCCGAATTTGGGCACTGTGCTGTGGTACTGGGGTTTATGACGCTCTCCAGCGTCCAGAGTAGCTCAGAAAACAGTTTCTTAGTTGTGTGTTATGGCAATGTATTCTAATAAGTGTATATATTGTATATACATATATAGCATTTCTTTAATATGTAATGAACGTATTTTATAGTARAATATTTGTATTTGGCCTTAATTTCTGTAAAGAAAACATTAGAAACTGCCATGAAATAAACAATGTGGGTGATGGGGAGCAGCATCTTTTGATTTGCCAAGATCCAGCTCTTCAACTTGCTGCTGCTTAAATCCCTTGTCCTGCGGAGCAGGTAGTTACAGGAACTGTTGTTATTTGTTCCTAAACTTAGTCTGGTTTGCCATATATTTTTTTCTTGACCTTCTCTATAGGGCCTAACTGCTTTTGAACAGCATTGGGCTGATAAAATAGAAATAACCTGAACAGACAGATCCTGCAAAGCAGGGGAATGYGCTTTGCTCTTTCCTCATTGAATAATGTAAAAGGCAACTGCAAATGATTTCTATACTAAGAATTCCAACTTCCTGTAGTAAAGGGTTTTTGTCTTTTTCTTTCAAGTTCACTTACGTGATTTACCAGCTTTGGTTGTCAGTGGTTTTATGGTAACCTGCAGCAGGAGTGAATCACACTTCAGTTACTGAGGAAAACTCAGATCTGAAGCGAGCGGCACATCTCAAAAGCAAACACGTTTGGTTTATACAAATCTTGTCAGGCAAAGAAGGTTCTGCTGTATGTTTAACTGGTAGCTTAGAGCATGTGGCTCTGCCTCTGAAAAGGATTTTTAAAAATGTATCTGAACTGCTATGGTGAAAAACAAGAAAGAGCCAAATGCCTTGAGGTGTATTTCTCTCACATGCTTATTTTTTCCTCCTCAGTGTGCCTATAAAAATGTAGACACTCACATTAGACCTATTTTTTTTTTAGTAGGAGATGCCTTTTTTTTTGAAGGATTTTCTTTATTAAATATTCTTTACTTGTGTCCTCTAGGCACAGAAGGTCCTGGTGTCAGTATCTCAGAGGAGAGACAGAGTCCCGCTGAGAGTAGYGCTGTAAACATCTTTTATAATCCTCATGCTTCCCTTTCTATTGAGCAACAGAGACAAAAGCTGCCAGTTTTTAAGGTAAAAAAGTTCTTGATTATGTTGAATTTCTTCAGTGGTATCTGGATTTTGTAGGTATTTCTGAAAAAAAAATACAGAATCACTTTACAGCATAGAATAATGATTTTATGACCTTATTCTCTCTATTTGTTTGCATCAGTTGTTCAGTTTGACAGCTATTACCAGGAGGTTATTTTTTTTAGATTTAATCTAAATTACTGTGTTTTGCACACACTGCAAATAGATTTTAATGAACTGTTTAACTTGTGACAATAAGCTATGTGAATTACTATGTTTATTGCCTATATAGTGTTCTTTTATTTTCTTAGTTTTATGCAAATCTGCTCTGGGTAGTAATTGTTATTCTCTCTTTCAGCTAAGAAATCACATACTTTACCTAGTAGAAAACTATCAAACACTGGTGATTGTTGGGGAAACAGGATGTGGGAAGTCAACCCAGATTCCACAGGTACGTATGTAGAATTGCCCTTTATTTTACAAAGAACTTTATGAATTATTTTATTAAAAACAAATCATTCGTAAACTCTCTAAATAACTGCATAGTCAATCAATTAGTGCCAGAATCAGCAAAAAATATGGAGTCTACAGAGCCAGAACCTTGCTGTAATCAGAGGATAACTGTTTTCTACCCCTGCATATTCATTTGCAGTATCTAGCAGAAGCTGGATGGACGGCTGAAGGGAGAGTTGTTGGGGTGACGCAGCCTCGTCGAGTTGCTGCTGTTTCTGTGAGTTTCTCCACATCCATTTTGTTTTTTTTTTACAGAATTATCCTTATAATTTCCTATTCAAATTATTTTTCTGTTCATTCTCTCTAGCTATTTGTGATTTTTTTTTTCAATTTTAGTAAGAAATGGAGGTTTATTGTATTAGCTGACTAATTAGTTTGTTGCAGAATTAATCTATGGAAGAGCTCCCAAGTTAGTAGACCTTTCTTCTTATCTTCTTTGTAGATTTCTGGTGCTAAACACTGAATTCAGCCTGATGAGTAGGTCCTGTCAAAGATGCTAAATCTAGAATAGCAGATGTAGAGGCTTTGAAGTAAAATTAAATTACATCAGCAGAACTGTGTAGAGGAAGCTACAGCTGTGTGAGATGGCACAAAATTGAATCTGAGCTGTAATTCTGCTCTTGTGATCCTTGATTTCCTTCACAAAGTGAAGTAGTGAGGTAAATATAAGTACAGTGACATAACAAGAGGAAGAAGCATGTGTTCTTCTAGCAATTCTTACCCAATTTCATATCTTTCCCCTTGTAAGAGAATGGAACAGAAAAAACGTGAAGTTTATTACGATTAATCTTTGTACTGTAGATTTCTCAAGTAGATTCATTGTGAAGCCGATCTGGCAAAATACACTAAAATGTTTAAAAAATAATTACAATTGTATATTCAATATATTGTATATTATATATATTGTAATATATATATTATATTTTAAATTGTATGTTCAGTATACAATYGTTAATTAAAGGCTCTTTTCTTAGGTTGCAGGCCGAGTTGCTGATGAAAGGGGTGCAGTGTTGGGTCATGAAGTTGGATATTGTATCCGGTTTGATGACTGCACCGATCCACGGGCTACAAGAATTAAGGTAAATACAAGAATTTCAATACAAGAATTAAGGTGAAACAATGTGTGTAGTCTGAAATGGTTGGTTGAAGCTCTAAAGGTGTTTCTGCAAAATTAGAGTTTTGTGGTGTCAAGGAAAGAGGGTAGATAGCATTTCTGTTCTGCAGGTGGTATACTAAGAGCTTGCCTAAAGTTGTTGTGGCTACTTCAACTAATATGAGCTTAAACTAATAGGAGCTGATCTGCCACTCAGAGTAATAGTGAAAGGCTGCAGTGAATCGAAGCTAAAACATCCTCACCTTTATAAAAATACTTTTATTTTTCCTGCATTTTTTTATCAAAATCTAACAGACTGGCCCGAAGTGATCTGCTCTGGATTAAATTGCAGCCTTTGCAGCTGTTCTTTAGCACAGTGAGCAGTATTCATGTTATTTGTTGCGTGCAGATGGGGGCTAGTTTTAGTTAATTGGAATAGCAGTGATGATGACTTGAGACTGCATAATTTACATTTCATTTTTTTTCCTGAAGCTACCCGTACTTTTTAAAGCAAAGGAAATGGAGATGTCTTAATTGCAGCTGAAATCTTTTTTCCTTTTTTTTTTTCTTTTTTTTTTTTTTTTTATCTGCAGTTCTTGCCCTATTCAGGGCCACAGCCTCAGGCCCAGATCAATAGTAACTGTTTTTTGACGGTTACATAAGGCTGGTGTCTTTCTGTTGGCTGAAAGTGGTAAATTAAAATGTTATATTTTGTTAAAATGTTTACTTTGTGTGTGTGCTGTAGTTAAATGATGCTCAAGTTCCCTTCCTTGAGAGGGCCAGGACTGGATCAGTGCAGAGAATGGTACCTGTGCAGCAGGTTTACTCATATTACAAAAGTAAAGGAAGAAACTTTAATGACRCTATTCCAGTGTTACCAGTCTGTTATTTTTCAATATAAAAATAATTAATTTTCCCAAATTCAAAACTGTTTAAAAAAGGTTACTTTGCTTATCTTCAGGACTAGCAGATGGAAGTATCTATTCATCTTCTACGCTGAAAGTAGATCAATTCCATAGACTATTAGAAAATGAGAAGCAAGCAGAAATTTAGGCAGATACTTAAAAATAGCCTGGATAATTGAAACTGTTTGTTATTTATTGAATTATTTTGCATTTTTATTTGCATTCACTTTTAGTTTCTAACTGATGGTATGCTGGTGAGGGAGATGATGGCTGATCCACTGTTAACAAAATACAGGTAAGGGAATATTGAACAAGTGTTTGCTGAAGTATATTGTTGGTTATTGGCTAAACTTTATTTATTAGACTAAAGTACCGTTAGTGTAAGTTGAAACATAAAGCTTTGAAAATTATTTAAAAACTTGACTTTTTAATGTTTTATCTACTGCTAGTAAATCACTTGGTTGTTGCAACACCAAGCCCATTGTGCTGTGGTTTTAGAACAAGAGAGAAACAGGCGACATGGGGTCTTTTTATCTTTGTCTTTCTTTTCATTTACCTGTTTCCAATTTCTCTTTGTCACAATAATCAAACTAGAAACAAAAGAAAAGCAATAAGAAGCAATTTTATTTCTGGCATCCAGGAAACTTTTCCAATGTCATATAGGTCTTTCTTCCTCCACCCGTTTTCAAAACTAAAGAATAATAAGTACATACCACAGGGTACTATTATACTCTATTTACCATGGTCTTACCTATTTTGGAAATGGAAAGATTTGCTTCTTTGCCTTTTTAATTAAACTTCTCCACTTAATGAATGTTAGCATTGATAGGCCAAGATGTTTTAAATTGTGGTATTTCAAGAAAGTGATTTCAGTGTCAGTCAAACTGCTCCTCAGTTCTTATCTTCCTGCTTTATTTGCAGTGTCCTCATGCTGGATGAAGCCCATGAAAGGACTCTTTATACTGACATTTCCATTGGCTTATTAAAAAAGGTTATTTCTTTTTAATGTCTTTTGTCATATGTTTACATATGACACTTCCTTTTCACTAAACCTGTAGTTAAAATGGCTGAGAGAGGAATTTCTAGTTCTGTGTTTATCCCACAGGTTGTACTTTAAGGTTTATTTTCCACATCTGATACTCAGCTCCTTCTAACCCCTTTCCCACCATAGGAATTTCTCTTCTAGTTAGATTACATTAGCAAAAAGTCATTTTTCGTTTTGCTGTTCCTGTGATCTGATAGCCTGATTGGCATCTATTGACAATTTTGAGCCTGCCAACAATTTCTGATTCCCCCCCGAAATTAATAGGAAGCTATAATGATTACAGGCTAAATAGCGTTCTTTCGTTCTTAACCTCAAATATATGTAAATATATAAAGCTGCACACACAGTCTCCAGGTTGATAGGTTGGACAATATGGATTCATTAGCTGTTTTATGGCAACCAGAGTATTTCTAAAGAGGAATCACTGGTAGTCTCAATGCTTTGAAACTTTATTTCTGGACTTGGGGTTGCACTAGATGATCTCTAGAGGTCCCTTCCAACCTTAACCATTCTGTGACTTGTGTCTCAAAAACAATTCTTACCCTCTATTTTCTTGCTGTCTGTTCTTAGATTCAAAAGAAGCGTGGGGATCTTCGGCTGATTGTGGCTTCAGCCACCTTGGATGCAGAGGTAAAAGGTTTGGTTTCAAATAAAGTGMCTTCAAATGGCAACTGCACTTCTATTTATTTACAGCTTGTTCTTTATATGCTGACTGTTTCTTGGGAAGCATTGCTGTGGTTTGAGTGGAGGCAGTGAGAAATGCAGGAAAGACTTTGCTGTTGTTAAATTGTTCTGTTCACTTTTTATTTTGTATTGCTGTGCTTTGTGAAGGTTACATTTGACGTGGCTTGTTACCATTAACATTAAGAAATACTAATAATTTTACTCAGGTTGACTTACGTCTCTACATACACATTTGTTTAAGAGCAGTAAGTCTACTTTAATGTGCAGAAAAATAGAAATCTACTTGGTTTCTTATTGTTCTTTCTATTGCTATAGGGTATTTTAAAAAGTTAATGCAAGAAATTTAAATGTATGAAGGGGATGTACACAAGTTTACAGTCAGCCTAACTTGTACAAAGAGACATTTCTGTTTGGTAAGAGCTGTAAAATTTACTTAACATATAAAAGAATATGCAGGCCCTTCCCCCAAACCTTTAAGAATAATCATTTTGAAGCTCTGCTTAGCTTTGAKTTTGCTACTACTGCAGAAGACCCAAAGAAAATGAATATGCAYCAGCTTTGTCCAGCTGTATCAGCTTATGTAACAAATTGCCTCTTTTCAATCTTTGGTAGGACARTAAATATGCAAGACAATGTAACTGTGTTAAATACCTGAATCCCAACCAGGATAAAGGTCAACAGAATCCAGCTTCAAAGCTTTCAAATCTGAACTTAAATTCAAGATTGTTGAATTTAAGAAGAGGTTATTCAAGTAATACTCATTTGACTTTGTCGTGTGTTTGTATTTCTCTTCTAATTCTTAAAAGTATCAAACTGAAAGTGTTTGTCTTTGCTTTTAATATAGAAATTCAGAGATTACTTTAATCAAAATGAGACCAATGATCGCAGCAAAGATACCAGTGTGATCCTTACTGTAGAGGGGAGAACGTTTCCAGTGGACATCTTTTACATACAGAGGTCAGTTCCTGTTTGATCTTGTTTGTGGTGGTTGGAGAATGTGTGTCCCTGGCATCATTTTAACTAGAAAAAACACTCAAGAGTTCCCAGAACACGGGTGGGGAGGTGTCACATTTAATTTGGGCAATTTAGCCATTCTTTCAAAATACTTTTGGCCCCAGCAAATTAAGGATATAAGTGTGACTTTTGTATTTCCAATTGAATCAATCTTCTGTTTTCATGAGGGACTGGAGGAGCTTTGGGACATTCCTYCTCTTTTTGCTCATTAGCATAATGGTGTTTCCCTTAGAGAGTGCAGGGACTAGTTATAAATTAATAAGGAACTACAAGTTCAACTACATTTTAAGGAAACAGTTATTCAAACTTGGGTGCATGATACTGGGTCCAGAGCGCCAATCCCATTAATCAGTAAATTGATTATATGAAAGAATAAAATASGTTTATAAATCCTTATAGTTATTGTTTTTTCTTGGATCAGGGTGATGATTGTATCTGGGTTTATGTATTTGAAGTAAACACTTTGAATATTTGCTTTAAATATAGCATTTTATTAAAAAAAAAAAGAAAGCAATGTAGGAGTCTGCTCTTAGTAGGAGAATACATGTAAATAAAACAGTTTTTAAGCTCACAAAGGTGTGAGGGAAAGGAATGACTTGCTAAAAKCTGACTCCCAGGAATCCAAAATCAGTTAAATGTGGTTGATCCATAACATCCTCAAATTGTCTTTTCTTCCTTTACTGAAGTATCTGTGCTTATTTTTTTCCACTAATGTGTCTCTTTTGTTTTCCTTCATTTTTTTTCCCCCCTTTCCACAGCCCTGTTCCAGATTATATACAAGCAACTGTGGAAACTGCAATGAAAATTCACCAGATAGAGAATGATGGGGATATTCTGGTATTTTTAACTGGCCAGGTAGATAAAATTGATACATAACTTTTTGCTTTGCAGTGTTCTATTATGGCCTTTGTGGCCTCCTGCTTTTCTTAGCTCTGCTAYTTTATTCATTAAAGACAATGATCCAAATTGGGCCAATTGAGTAGAATTGGGCCAATCCCAATGATTTCCAGAAAAAAACCTAACTATAGGATAAGAAGACCTTGTTATTCTTCCATCAAGAAGCAAGTTTTCTTGATTTTTGTTTCATTAGTTTCTTGTGTTAAATTCTGTGGGTTTTCAAGAGAATCTCTCCATCTATCACTACCAATTTGACTTTGAAAGAGTGAGCTGATGACGTGAGGAGATGGTGTTTCACGTTTTTTTCCTGCTTGGGTTTAAAGATAAAATATCTCAGATGGTCTAAGATTAAATATGAATTTGAACAGCAGATGTTAATGCTGTTACTGTGTCATTCTTGCCCTAGACACGACAGCATTCTGCACAATCAAAATASATTGGCCTCTCCCTTGCTTATCACAGCTTAGAGATGCCCAAGAAAACACTCCTGCTTCCTTCTTACTTTGTTCAGTCCTTTCTTGGTGATTTTTCTTGTGCATTAGTGTGATGCTGTTTCAAATAACATGGTACATGAATATTTATGTGAGAATGTATTCAGCTAAATAACGATTTATATGCAAATATTAAAATATTAGTGGAGCAGYTCCAAACATCTCGGAGTTTTGAACTATGAAAATTGTATCAAGATGATTATTTTGTTTATTTTGTATCTTCCYTTTGGATACGGTTGTAGGAAGAAGTGGAAAGTGTAGTTTCTCTGCTAATAGAACAGGCTCGGGCCCTTTCTCGCACTGGGATGAAGAAGCACCTCCGTGTTCTCCCCATGTATGCTGGCCTGCCTACTGTAGAGCAAATGAAAGTGTTTGAGAGAGTTTCTCGCAGCGTCAGAAAGGTAGGGCTGCTGTACACTGTTCCTCTTTGGTGCCTCAACGCAGAAATCTTCTTTATATAGATTTTTATATATGATACTCATATCATGAAAATGTTGCCAACTCCATTTTGGAGGGATATGTGGATTATCTGGGCCTCTGAATACTGTGTGCRTGGCAGTTTTTATGAAGTGAAACTRGTTACCTAGCAGCGKTTTTTTCTGGCTTTGCTCTTCCTTTTTGTTCAGGTCTACATGCCAAGTTTTATGCCTACTGAACTCAAAATAACAAAATTATCCTTCTGGTGTTGGAGGATGTTGAATGATGAAGAAAATCCATTTTTTCTTCTGGCTGTGGCCAAGTTGAAGACAACTTCAAAGAGTTGCCTCCGTAGTTCCAAGTGAAATTCCCTGTTTTTCCTGCAACAGTTGGAAATAAAAATCTGCCACTGCCCCACTACTTGCCCTTTGTAGCAAGTAATGTTTAAAATAGAGCTGGGAAGCAGAAAGAAACTGTTCTTAGTTTTATTTGCTGCATGAGGACACTTGATATTTGGTCAGATTATGGTTTCTCTGCAAAGACAGCCAAATTCTTCCACTTTTAGAAAGACAGAATAAATTTGAATAAAAAAGTGGTGGTGAAACTGTAGAAACTGGGTTTATTTTGAGTTGAGAGCATGTTCTGTATCTTTTTTTTTTGTACTCCATAGTGTGATCATGGGGACTGTCATACCTAAGATCTTTCAGGTGGCCTCTGAGTCCTGGCATGCCGATGCGGGGGCTCGTTAGTGTAACTGATAATTGGAGTGTTTGTGTGTGTAGGTCATCGTAGCCACCAACATTGCCGAGACCTCCATCACGGTTCACGGAGTTGCCTACGTCATTGACTGCGGCTTTGTGAAGCTTCGGGCCTACAATCCCAGAACCGCCATCGAGTGCCTYGTGGTGGTGCCGGTATCCAAGGCCTCGGCTAACCAGAGAGCGGGCCGCGCGGGCCGGAACCGCTCGGGAAAATGCTACAGGCTTTATACAGGTCAGTGATTTCACGTGCAGAGTAGCTGAACTTGCTCTTCTGTGCCTAGAATTCTGTATTACAGTATTTTTAGGACAACGTTAGGAGAACATAAATGCATTTTCATTTTTACTTGGAGCAGCAGATGAAAAATCTTGCAATTTTACCTCAGTCTGGCATTCTGTAGACATGAATTGCTCGCATATTCTGTATTTGTGCTTTGGAAAATGTTTCTCGATGCTTAATACGAGTGGAAAAGGTGCTGTGAGACTGAGAGCAATTCCAAGCCTGTCGTGGTGATACAACTCAGTGGCAAATCTGCAAAGTGTGTTTGTCTTTTATAATGCTTTTAATTTCTGGCATTAAATTAGTTCAATTTGTAATACTCACCTATATATACACTGTAGTATGATGAAAGTCTCCTTCAGAGCACATATCTAAGAAAGAACTCTGGAAAATCTTCCGACTATTGAGGACAATTTCTTCCTTTTCTGGCTTCTCTTAGCAATAGGGGCCAACCCAAATACTTTGCTTGAACTGATAGGACTGGCACTGTACAAAAATAGCTGCTATAAATGAATCTGTTGGCTATCTGGTAATGTTCAGAAAGTTGCAATCCAACTTCAGCTCCTTCTTTAATTACAGAACACTTTGCAGTAGAGCAGTGTGATCAGGTTCCCTCAGGTTCCCTTTGTTTGTGCTGGAGCTTTGAAACTGAGAGACCAAGCAGACTGAGCACCTCTGCTTTGTCACGTACTTTGTCCCAAACCTTAGGTGTTAGTTTCAATATCTCATTTTCTGTGAATAATTATTTTAAATTAGTGTTCTTGTAGTGAAAATATGCTCAGTTTCAGGTTTTGACTCCTCTTTAAAAAAGCTTTTGTAATATTTGCACACTGCGTTTCACTTTCATGATAAAAACATCAAACTCACATACGAAAAAACATCTGCAGATTTTGGGATGAATTTACAAGATTTCAAATTAGTATGTGGCTCAACTGCAGAGTTAGCAATTTAGAAGAACATTTGCTATTGAAACTATGCATTAAAATTCAAGTAACTTAAAATATACTAATTGGAGAAACCTCACCTTTGAGTTACAGTATTTTTAACACCTTTTAAGTGTTTGTATTTCATTTTTCTGAATTGAAACAAATACTGTCCTGTTGAATGTATGTAAAGGAAGCTGAAACGCAATCCTAAATAGCTTTTTTTGTTTGCTTTTCTCCCAAAAGAGGAAGACTTTGAGAAGCTGCCACAGTCCACRGTACCTGAGATGCAGCGCAGTAACCTCGCTCCTGTCATCTTGCAGCTGAAGGCTTTGGGAATCGATAATGTGCTCAGATTCCCCTTTCTCTCGGTGAGTCTTAGACAATAAAATTTCTCCTCCTTTAGTGAGAAGGAGGATCACTAGATCTTGCTTATAACCCTCAGAGGGATTAGTTTCAAATTATTGAAATTGTTATTACCTTCAAAAATGTATCTCATGGCCCACCATCAGGTAGCAAAGTAGCTTTCTGTGAATCAGTTAGTGCAAGTAACGTGTGACTGTTTAGAAATAGTGAGAACTTGCATCCTAGAATTTCTGTGAAGGATCAAGAATGAATTTAAAATTCTGTAGAACAGTAGCTCCTTTGCACTAACTTTGTAGAGAGAAAAAAAAGCGCGTATCAGCTGAACCAAAATGCTGCGTGATCATAAGAAATACAATACCAGTATTTTGAATGTCTTTCCATAAAGTTTTTAGCTCCTTCTGCCAAGATTTTGATTCCATTGATGTGGAAAGACAATTGATGTGGAAAGATGTGGAAAGATAATAGTATTAGGAGAGAAAGTTAGGAAGTACTTGTTCTGATGACCTGTATTGTCGCTGTTGGACCAAGACTAGTGTGTGGCCTAATTCTGCCTCCTGACAGGATCTTGAGACTAGTGTAGGATGGTGCTGAGCGCTCTATCCATTCTGGGTAGGTAGAAAGGTAGCTAAACAGAGTTCAGGATTTAGAGGAAGGGAAAAACTAATGAATTTTGACTACTCATGTGTTCTTATTATGATGATGACTTTAAATAATGCACATTTTTTTCCCTTCTCAGCCTCCTCCTGCACAGTCTATGGTGCAAGCTTTGGAATTGCTGTATGCTCTAGGAGGTGAGAATATTTTGCTTTGCTTTACTTGCATTACAGGAGATGTGGAAGAAATGTTAATTTATATTTGATTTTGGGATAGCCATTAATCAAACTTGCTTTTGAGAAGAGTTCTTTGAGTGGAAGAAAATACAGCCTCGACCACTGCAGACATTTTGCTGGTGTTTTGTAAAGGGCACCTGGCTTTTCTTGGAGTTTACTTTCTATTCCTCTTAAGTTATTTCAGAAAGGCAGGCAAGCAGAAGGCAGTAATCACTTTTTGGGAGGAAATTTAAGTACTGTGTATTTCCTTGCACTTTCATGAGAGATGTCAACTCTGTTATTGCTGGGAATAGCACTCTGAATTGGTTAGGGTATTGGTTTAATGTTAACAGCAGCTCCCTTGTTCATTTTTCTCCAATCCTGATGGAATGGGTGGCGATGTAGATGGAATTAGGATACAAAGCTGAAGAGTACTAAATTTGTTTGTATCCCATTATTTGATAAGCTGTTAGATATTCAAGTTGGTAGTGTAGTGGTGAATATTCATTTTTGCATTACTGTGCAATGAGAACCTGTAGTATTTTCAAGTATAAACAACAAACTTTGAAAGTGCAAGTTTGTCAACTCCTTCATTATCAGGTTGATTGTAATAACATGGAAATTAGTTTAAAGTAATTGCCACTTCATTTATTTCCTGTTAGGATTTAGAAGTGCATTGTTTCCATTTGAATTGTGTCTGTTAGCATGCAGCACTCATTGTCTGGTGGTGATGTGCTTGCCTATGTTAATCCACATATAAGAAAAGTGCAAGAACTCTGCATAGACTTTGCAAGGAAAATCTGAGACTTGAATTTGAGAGGCAATGCACTGGAGACTAGGTTAAAAGTTTAATAGTTTGCTTCCCTATCTGTTATCAGATGAAACGTCACATTGTAGTTCCTCAGACATTTCTGTTGATTGWTAAAGGAGGTACCATTGCCAAAAGTCATCAACAACACATGTTGTTATACTATAAAAAATGAGTTATAACTTAAAAAAATGAGTTCTAGCCTGTATAGCTACTCGGAAAGTAGCATGATTAAAAGGCTACATCTTACAAGAGCGGCCCTGTTAGTGTTATCATTGATCCTGCAACTGGGTCAGAGTTCTGACAACAATTTGGATGTTAACTCTCTTTCTGAACATGCCTTTGGCCTTCAGCTTGCAAACTTTGACTTGCTGCAGGCTAATCGGTGAACTTGTTCTCACTTTATCAGCTATGAATGTGTGATCYAACCGCTTAAAAAATGTATTAATTGTTTCCCAAAGCAGCAAATTTACACCTGGGGKGACTGAAGCTGCATTTCCCATGTGTAGCATCTGTGTTTCATTGCACAGCACAGTGGCTTTTCAAGCTCTTCGATGCCTGTGTTTATGCAGCTCACACAATGTTTGCTCTCGTTTTAGGGTTAAAGTTTTTGGTTATGGACAAGCAAGTAGATAAGGATGAATGTTGCAGAAAAGCCAGTCTGACACAGGCTCCTGCTGAATACCTGGACATTTTTAAGCATGCTGGAGTAGTATTTTTGTACACAATATACTATTTCCTTCAAGCAAAGCCAAAACCTGACACAGGAACATGTGATTTAAATGAGCTCTGCTGCACTTWAACTTACTGTTGGGAGTTAATTCAAAACAATATTTGCTCCCTAACATGACGATGAAGAGAAGGGTAGTGTAAAAGAGCTTGTGTAAGGTTTTGGAAACTTCTAGAGTTTTGTGTCTATTTTTACATCACTTAAAAATGCTGTGTTTTAACTTATGGCAGTGTGCACACCTCTTGTGTAGATGTGTCTGTCTTGGCCTTGCTTATTTTCTGGGCTGATTCAGTTCCATCCAGCACAACGGAGAGTTTCCCTTGAGGCACTTGGTTCTTGGCAGCCATTTCAACTTGGAACACCAGTTTTCACACCAGCTCCACAAAACAGTGAGGAGCCAGGGAATTTCAAGGATGGATTCACAGCCAAAACCATCGGAGGGAAATAGAGAGGAAAGGACAATAAACTCCTTGCTTAGCTCTGGCAAGCTAATGGCAAAACATTAAGCTCATGGTAGATTCACATGCAAGTACAGAGCTCTCCTCTGTTGGCTGCTCAGTTTTGGCAGCAAGGGGGGATGTTTAACCCAAAGGAAGGTGTGTGCAGCTGTGTGAGATACAGATTTATTCTAGTTTTTATTGCTGCAGTTTAAGGTGACTTATTAAGGAGCTTTTATATAAATTGCAGAGGTGAAATTACCCTAAAGTTTGCAGTAAGGACTAAATTTTTCTTGTGCAACTATGTGCATGAGAGGCAAATGGGCAATTTAGGATCAGGATCCTGTCGTGCCAAGGTGGTACCCCCTGGGAAGCTTGTGCAGAGCAGACACTTTTATGGCTGGGATAGCTCTGTTGGATAAACACATTTTCAGAACTGATTACACCAGGAATATCCTTTCAACTTTATCCTTTGATGCCCCTTTGAAAAACTCACCTGTCAGTTTGAGGTCATTATTTTAAGTCTAATGTAGGAGAAAAAGAGAAAAACAGATTAAAAAAAAAAAGGGGGCTTTATTTTTAGCTTTATTTCTGATACAAACAAATCTTCAATGTTACCTTGTAAGTTGTGGCCTATTAGAAACAATCCTTCCAGTTAAGTTTAAAGCCTCTTTTTTCCTCGACCCATCACATAATTAGGAATGTTTCTTGACAATTTTAATGGCAAAAATACTTGACTGAGCTCTCCTGAGTGTGTTTAGCTAAGACCTTTTCCTAAGCAGAGCTTAGGGAAGAGCTGAAGAGCTGATTTCCTAGGTACCTGGCATGGTAGTTGCTTCCAAGATTATTTCAGGGAAACTTTGACCTGGGCCAAACTTATATCTCATGCAGACCTCTGTAGCAGCACACCCAAATACCCACCAAAGAGCCCTATCCATAAACCACAGATCCATGCAAAATTGTTTTGAGACTTGCAGATTCGGCAGAAGCCAAACAATTATGGCTTGATGAGGAAGCTAAAAAGAGCGTAATTTCTCTTTTTTTTTCTACTGATGAAGCCAATTTTATTTCTGCAGATGAAAGACTAAGTAGCTGAAGGTGCTAATGATGGTAGCACTTGAGCATGTTGCATTGCCCTGGTCAAATGACCTACCTTGCTTTTTGCAGTTTGTGTTGATATATATCACTTAATCATTTCACATAAGCTGCCTGTTGTAGCTGTTTCTTAGAACAGTATTTTGGCAATGTGTGAAATGTCTGTTAGGCCTTTTTTTCATTGTAAGGGTGTAGTGAACTTCTTTCGTTGTCATAAAATTGCAGCATCTCAAACGCTGAAGGAAAGCGAGCACTTGATGGAGATACTTGCAGCTTTAGATATGCTGACACGAGTCGCAGGAGAAGATCTCGCTCTTTGACTTCATGTGTGGTTCTGGTTTTCCCTGAAACCCAACTAAAGYACAACTGTGCTTTGCTCACCATACAGTTTGACATACAGCGTGTTATATAACACATGGACCACAGTAGCTTCCTYGATCTACTCTGCTATGGTTGTTTATGCAGACTAAAGTGCTCCCCAATCCTGTTGTTTACTCCTTCCTTGCGCAGCTTTTCTTGTGCTCTGCCCCTCGATGYTCTTCTCATCATTCCCTGTGTCATTCATCTGTATTTGTTTCTTGTTCTATTTCCTGGGGAGTGCTTTGCCATTTATTTTTATTTCTCTGAATTTTCCACACAGTGCTCAAGTTTAGAGAAAGTATCACCCCRTGGCTTGCAAGGGTAGCACTTCCTACAGCAATTTAATTCTAGGAAGCYGTTTATCTGAAACGGAAAATATGCRGGAATGTTCACGAGTGACTGGGAACTGAAAATCAAGGTGTTGTGTCTCTGCCTTGGGCCTCTTCTCCTCCCATAAACTCTCTGCATCTGGACTGTGGCCAACATGTACTTGATGCATGAGGCAGAATAAACTGCAGAGAAGCCTTCCTTGTATCTAGTTTAGATATTAAAATCAAATCACTTTTCTCCATGATCTAAGCAGMTATGACTCAGAAAAATGACAGCATGTCATCCCATAATGCTGCTTCCTGTACCACAATTATGTCTCTTACTATAATTATACTCATTTTTTTTCTTATCAGCACTCCTGCTTTTCCTCACCCTGTTTAAAGATATCGCTAAATGCTTCAAAAGGAGATGCACGACTAACACTTAACTTTCTAGACTAAGCACTATCCAAAAATCATAGAATCAGAGGATGCTTAAGGTTGGAAGGGACCTCTAGRGATCATCTAGTCCAATCCCCTGCACACACAGGGTCCTAGAGCACGTGGCACAGGGCTGCGTCCAAGCAGCTTTGGAAGATCTCCAGAGAAGGAGCCTCCCCAGCCTCTCTGGGCAGCCTGTTCCAGGGCTCTGTCACCCTCACTCTTAAGAAATGTTTCCTGAAGTTTCTGTGGGACTTTTGGTGCTTCAGTTTGTGGCCGTTTCCTCTAGTCCTATCGTTGGCCACCACTGAGAAGAGGCTGCCCCCTCCTCCTCAGTGCCTCYCTTGAGGTGTTTATGGACCCTGATCAGATCCTCCCTCCGCCTTCTCTTCTCCAGGCTRAACGGGCCCAGCTCTCCCAGCCTTTCCTCACAGGGTGGATGTTCCAGGCCCCTCATAATCCCTTCTTAGATAGAGTCGGGCACTTGGCCTGTTGCATTGCATTTGACTTCAAGTTTTCTAAACTGTTTGCCAGAGCAATAGAACTTGATCAAAAACAAAGGGACTTTTATGTTGAAGTACCTTTCATTTAAAAGAAATACCATGGACTTTTGAGGGAATAAGCTAATATATAGCTCACAAATTTAGTTTAATACTAACTCAGCAATTTTTAGGTGCATTTATTTTATTTTAGTCCCTAATTCTGCTCTTTTGTGCACAATAAATTCTTAAAAAAAGACTTTGAGTGCTACTTTAGCCTGTATTAGAGTTGTATTTGTTAATGTGCTGCAGGTTTGGATTCACACTGCCGTTTAACAGAGCCTCTTGGAATGAGAATAGCAGAGTTTCCTTTGAACCCGATGTTTGCGAAGATGCTTCTGGAATCAGGTAAGCCAAAAAATCCAGTTTTATTCACGCTCATCTGAGGAGAAGAAAAATGCCTTGAGTAATTGTTGTGTAGTACTGGATGCTTCCTAGACTTGGAACAAGCTATATGGTGTGAACTTCAGTGAAAATAAAAGACTTGGTTTAACTCGGACATTTCTAATAAAGTTAATTGAAGTCTAATCAATTTGTCTTTGAAGCTTCCTATTAAAAATATTCTCTATTATACTCAACCCAATGCCATATTTATTTGATATTTAGAACTATGTAAGATTATATTTTAGTTTGATAGATGGTAAAAAGTATTCTGCTTTCCCTCTGCATTTTCCTATATTTTGTTAGGTTGAAGGAAAGTTTCCGTTCCTGACTTTCTCTACTTATTCTTCAGGAAATTTTGGTTGCTCTGAGGAGATTTTGACCATTGCTGCCATGATGCAGATTCAGAACATCTTTGTCATCCCTCCAAACCAAAAATCACAAGCTGTAAGTTCAGTCATGTCTCTTTTTTGCCTGGGTCAATATTTCTAAATTTCTGTCCAATGCCTGTTACACTGCAAATTTGTATCAAAATGAAAAATAAAGCAATATTTATAACTGCCAAGGTTTGTAAAAGAGCTAAAAACTTCCTTTTGAAAAGAACAAAAAGCAGGCTTAAGATACCTTAAATGGATGTGAGCAACCATATGCATCCTTCTCTTGAATTTTTGGCATCTATTTTCAATTCATTTTTCAAGTTTCAATTTTGGAGCTCCTCTGAGCTCCAGAATATAGGAGCTCAGATATATATCTATAGATATAGACAGATAGATAAATATATATAAGCCAGTAGATTAATATTGCCTAAAGGTGCTGTGCTTTGTGCAAAGAATTAGGGTAGTCTCCAGAAATACTGAAGATGATGAAACTGAAGGTAYTGGAAATTATTATTGCAAAAAATATTCTGCTTATAAAAATACATTTCCTCTTTTCCAGGCCAGGCAGCACAGGAAGTTTGCTGTGGAAGAAGGTGATCACCTCASTATGCTAAATGTTTATGAAGCCTTTGTCAAAGTGAGTCTGTTTGTATACATGTGGATTTTCAGGAATGGGTAAAGTTTCTAGTTCTGAATCTGGAAGCCCTGGATATGGCATCCTCAAAGCTGTAGACTCGCCAAGTCTATGAAATACTTCAGCCATACAAAGTATATTAAATGAATAGTAGTATAAATGTGATATTTAAGAAGTGTCTGGTCATATTTTGCCATATTCTTTCCTGTAGTCCCTCTGAACAGGGAAGAGAAAGAGTTCTCTGGTTTGGGTACAATACAGTTTTATCTGTAGACTTCTATAGACTTATATATTTTCAGGCAACAATGGAAATTTTGCCTTTAAAATTTTAAATCTGTGAAACTATTAAAAATATCAATATGCAGAGACTCTTGGAGTAAGTGCTGGCTTCAGGAGAAACAGCTCTTTGACTAGAGGAGACCAAGGAAAACAGTGTACAGGAAAGGCTGCTCRTGTGTTGAGATAGAAAACTGAGACTGATACATGATATGAAGTATTTATGAGAATGGAATGATTGCTTCTCTTCTCCTTCCTCATTTAGGAAGAAATGAGGTACACTGAGAAAATATCCCCTGACCGTTTATTCTGCTCTTATTTACGAGTTATTTGAAGGAGGTTTTGCAGTTAGTGGCAGTAGGCTGTCTTGCTGGTTGCTCTGTAAATAGATAATTTTCAGGGAAAATTACAAATACATTGTAGGAGATAGGGGGAAAAAAGAACAGTAAGAATAAAACCATGTAGTCTGTAAGATTTGAGTTTCTGGTGGTGGTATTTTGATTACAACTTTTTTGTTTTTCCCCTTCTCACTGTTCAGCACAGCAAGAGCTCTCAGTGGTGTCAGGAACACTTTCTAAACTACAAAGGACTTGTTAGAGCTTCTGTTGTAAGAGAACAGCTGAAAAAGCTTCTTGTCCGCTTCAAAGTGCCAAACTCATCCAGTGAAGGTGAAGAYTTGCTTATTATTGCATTTATTTATTATTATATATATTTTATTATTTTTATTATTATTTAATACTTTTAAATTATTATATATATTTTTAAAACCTGTTGCTTAGTATATATTGAAGGTAGTCTCTACATTTTTAGTCCACTTCCTGTTTTTCATATAACTATTTTTTGAGTGTTTTCTGCATTTAACATAATTTTAAATCCAACTACTTTTTTCCTAAAAAATGACTGTAAAAGAGCAACATGAGCTGTGCTGGCAATTAACATTTATTCTGTTCTTAAAATTTCCAGCATGGTTATATAGAGATTATCACCACTTACATATTTCAGATTTTGAAAAAGYAGAAAATAAATTAAAAGTAGAAAATAAAATAAAAAGTCCGTGATAAAATAAAAAATAAAATAAMAKTCCATGATAAATTACCAAGTTTCCCTTTTTACCTTTTAAAAATGATGWTTTCTTTACTATGTTTGATATGATACACAGGCATTGAGGTTTTTTTATTTTTTCAGCTGTGTTGGAAGGGCTTGGTTACTATGAGTTTTTACATAGAAATTGTGATATGTAGAGAAATGGAAGCTGGAACAAAATGTGGAGTTTGCCTTCAAACTTTTGCATTGAATCAGGCTTTGACAGCAAGAGCTGTTTGAGATGATTAAGCGGATTAGAGGGTTGTTTTTTGYCCTTGCATTGACACATTTTACCAAAAAATATTCTTTTCTTCAGGTGATCCAGATACAGTTTTGAGGTGTATAGTTTCTGGATTCTTTGCTAATGCAGCTAAATTACATTCTACTGGAGCTTACAGGTAAGAATATGTAGTTTCATTGGAAATGTTGTTCAGCTCAACAAATTGCTTTCATATGATAAATGCACAATGCATCTCTAGATCTTAGCAGTAAAAAATACATGGCAATTGCTGTAGTAAGCCTTCAAGTTTTGTATTTTCAAACTGCTTCAGTGTTTCTTTTTTCTTAGTACAAGCAATTAGATAAATTAAAAATGGGTAGCTGTTACTATTAATTAGCTGAACTGCTCCTTTTACATTTAGTATAGGTAGAAAACTTGTAGCACATGAAATTCTCAGTCATTTCTTTGGCCAGGATTTRAGCCTGGTTTTAATTGAAAGCCTATCCATTAACTCTAAACACTTACACTTTGCCCCAACTCTTTCACTGTCACCTTTTATCAGTATTCTGGCGAGGGATGAAAAGAAGCAAATGTTAAATAATAAATCTGTGTACATCCTGAACTAATATCTTGCTTTCAAGGACTATACGTGATAATCATGAACTTCATATTCATCCCACCTCTGTGTTGTATACAGAAAAACCTCCTCGCTGGTAAGTTAGAGCTGCTTTTGCTTGCTTTGTGTCCTGGAGAAGTCATTTTGGAGCATCCAGGCATTTCCCTGACTTTTCTGCATCAGTGGAGCAATAAACATAGGAGATCAGTGGTGAGAACTCAAGTGGTATTTCTTTTTCAACTGTCTATAGGCAATATTCCAGTAAAACAGGGGAAATGTGTGGCTTGCACTATCAATAAATGGCAGAAGTTGAAAAGCCAAGACCTGTACTTTAAATTGCTCTCTGAGTGCTCTTGATACATAGACAGAACTGGAATTAATTACTTCTTATTAGACTCTTAAGTAAATGTTCTGTCAAACAGGTATTGCAGACATTGTGTAAGACTTGCTAGGAGAGGGTTGATGTATGAGAGGGCAATGTGTGAGGCAAAATGTTTGATGGCAGTTTATGGTTGTCTGAAAGACTGAGGAGAAATGGTTGTGTTTTCATCTAACTTAGGTGTTACAATTTAAATTTGTGTGCCAGAAATACTGTGTTAACAAATGGAAGGGTCTTTCTAGCTACCAGCTGACCACGATCAACCTAAATATTTGCCTCTTGTCAAAACACTTGTCTTTTTTTGCCCACTGCTGTGACTGTGAAGCATAAGCTTGGCCTAGGTACTCAGTCTCCTTTTGCTTTTGCTCTTACAGCTGCTGCACAGGGTCYGTAGAAATATAACTGGCTTGAACTTTCTCTCTCCTAGGGTCATCTACAATGAAGTCATTCAGACTGGCAAATACTACATGAGAGATGTGACTGCTATTGAGTCTGCGTGGCTCTTGGAACTGGCACCTCATTTTTACCAGCAGGGAACGGTATGGAATCGGCATAGACCCCAAACCATTCTATCTGTGTTACTAGCTCTTGTATATAAACCTTTAAATGTTCATGTGTGTCTGATGACATAAAAATTAATTTGGGTTGGTTCCTAAGTCCTACTTCACACTTTGATTTTTAGAGGAATCCTTGCATTCGTTGCAAATGTTTATGCAAATCCCAAGATCTCCTTTGAGTGTTAATTATGTTTCCTGAAAAAAATCAGTACCAGTCACTTAATACTCGAAATGGGGAAGAATAAATACTATTAGTGCAAATCTCTGTTCCAGGTTCTTGATTGTTTTGTGTGTAGCACCTTTATATTAGGAATGGCTCATCAGTAGTGTCCCTATGGCTTTGTGCCTACACCTTATGTGCAGGTGTATTGTTTGGAGAACATGTCTCTCTCCATGTATTTTTACACATTGATAAATTGTTTTCAATGGGAAATTGTGCATACACTTACATTTACTTCCAAAGTAATATAGTATATATAATATATAGTGCGTATTATACCAGCAYGCAAAATCACTCCAAGATATATGTAATTTTTTGGCTTTGTAGATTTATTTTCGCTTTATCAATAACAAGCAGGTCTTGCGAGGGGTGGTTTTGATACTTGTGTGAGAGTCAATTTAATTTGAGATTAAAGACCGAGTGTATTCTAACAGAACTTTTTGGAATTGTGGTGCCACTAAGCAGCTTTTCTTTTCCTCTTGCAGCATCTTTCTTTGAAGGCAAAAAGGGTCAAAGGAGATGACTGAGTCACTGATTTGATGTGACAATTCTTGTGACAGCAGTTGCAGAACCTACCTGTGATTTGAAGCTGCCTACAGYCCGTTCAGCAGTCAGTACGTCAGCAATCCGACCAGGCATCAACTGCAACGTTTCAGTGCCTGTCAGGATCTATAAGGGCCTTCTGTTCCTCATCTAACTGATCACTGTTGTTGATCTGGGCATGTGGCATCTTGTAAAAAAGGTAGACAACTGATTTTTAAAAATTGAAGAGAATACACAGGACCACAAAGAACTAAAACCTTGAAGAGGAAAACTGAGTTTCTGGAATGGTATAATCATCTTAGAAGAGCAGGGAGTGGGGTGCTGTGCCTTGAATTACCTGGAGCACTGTGACGGAGGCTGACTTCTGGCAAGAGATAGCTCAGAGCAATGAACTRGACCTTGAAATGCAAAGGGCTTCCCTGGAAACACTGATTCCGTGTGACTGACTGTCCCAAACTGGTGCAACTCATGCTCCTGAGCAGTGGAAGTCAGTGCAGGGATTTGCTGTTTGGGAGAAAGGAGAAGTAGCTGAGCCTTTCTGAGAAGATCTTTACATTTTTCTCAAGCTGGAGACTATGCATATATGTTCAGCTACTCAAATTCACAATTGAGGCTTTATTTTTTTTCTGTCCAATGAAAGAAAAAGTGTTAACCTATCACCACTTGGCAATTGCTGAAAATTGCAGCAAAAGTGTATCATGGAACACTGTTTTTAGACCCACTCATTCAAGAAAGATGAAAACATTCTGTACATCTCTTACAAGGAACAGTCTTATCTATTTTCTTTATTAAGTATCTGGTCTTTGCTGCRAGGACTTGTCACTTTACTGTAAGAGAAAGATATTACAAATTGTTGCCAGTTTAACAGGGACTCCTTGGCTGTTTTTCCATAAAGACCTATGCTTTTTTGTGTATAGACAAGGTAGATGGAACACATATATTTATTTTTTCTTCCTAGCATTTTGCTACTTATTTTAGAAACATGTTGTCTGTAAGTTTTATCTTTGTAAGGCTGTTGATTGGTGGATGTGTTTTGGGTATGTTAACCACATTTTTTTTGTTCTTTATGTAAATAAGTGAAAATATCTGTATAGAATGTAAATATTGCTATTCTTAGAATTGACTTGAAAATATTCTGAATCTTCATTATGATTTAAACAGCTGCAGAGTGAATATGTTCTGTCATGTGCAACGTATGGTCAATGTATTGACTGCCAGCGCGAAAAGACCTACCCATCTTAAGTATTTGGTACCAGCTTTATGTCACCCTCTCTGTTTCTCAATGAACCTCATCTTCTCTGTTTTACTGTATTAGAATAGAAGCTYTTTGGGGTAGGGACTGTTTTCTAGTCAAAGCCAAGAACATCTTGGGCACTTGCTGAAAAGATCCGTCACTTGCCTTTATTAATTTTTTTTCCCCTCTGAAAGGATCAGCAAAAGAACTGGACATGAGGACTGATAAAATGTCCATGTCTCTGCCCTTGGAAAATAGTTTTAAGAAAAATAACATGTTGCTTCTGTAAGTTCTCGTGCCGCGTGGGGATGGAGGCCACGGGAGGCCACACGCAGCCCTGCAGGGCCCCTGCAGCCGCGTGTGCACGGAGGCGCCAGGGCTGCACGAGGGCCTGTAGTGCCCCCCAGCCCTGTGCCCGCAGAGAAACCCGCAGGCCCCATGAAGGCCCTTAGGCTCCCTCCCTATCCTCGTGCGTGTGGAGGCCCTGGGAGGCCACATGAAGGCCCATAGGGTCCCCCCAGCCCAGCACGAAGCAGGGAGGCCACAGCTCGAGCAGTGAGGCCCTGGGGTGGCCTTAGTCAAAAGCATTGAAAGCAGTACAAGTTCAAATAAAATTTCAAATGAAAGTTCAATGAAAGTTCAGAAAATGAAAGCAAACAAATGCTTAGTGAGATGCAAGCGCTGTGTTTTCTGTGTAGCATATGATTTAAAAATATGTGATCTTATACATGACACAGATGCATGAGGATTGATTCATCTGGATATTTTGTGAATGAACAGGGTATATAATGAGCTATGTGTGCAGCAGTTTTATTTTTTTAAAGCTAGCTTATATGAATAAGTGTTGCAATAAGCACCTTCCAGGAAAAAAAGTGGTAATTCAGACTGCATATATCTTTAAACCAAAAAAGTTTATCCGAATCAGCTATCTCCATTTCCCTGTGACTCRCTGTAGATTCTGGTGGTTCTGATCTGTTCTGCCCTGTTGCCTAGTGCAAGCAGAGCAAATTTCCTGGTCCAGAAATGGAAAATGAGGAGAGGTGCTAATATGGGAAGAGCACGGAGCAGCATTTCGGCATGGGACAAGACAGAACCACAACACACAACTGCATTCTGAAAAGGCCTTTCTGATTGCAGCAAAGGGCTGGACCAGCATCTTCTGTCAGGCGAGTAGGTCCCGAAGGAGGAGAGAAGAAAAGAGCAGAGAAGCATGCAGGATGACTGCAAAAATTTCTTTGACTATGAGTTTACCTAGTGACTTACACAAGGGCTTGTTTGCTCTGGTGATGGCTGCTGAGCTGCTGGCCTCTTTGGTGGGAAAGTGGACATCTGGATGCTGCTCAGGAATGAATGATCTGAGCATTCTCACTGGGCTCATCCTTTCTTTGGTTCCTGGATCATGGGATAAGATCCCCTGACTTGGAGATGAAGCCTGGGCTGCTCATTTGAGAGGTAGGTCAGTTGCTGATGGACAAACACGGACGTGGTGACCTTGGTGCTGTGGTTCCTGGGTGAAGTGGGGCTCAGTCATTCACCTCACGTTGTAGGAGATGAGAGGCCACTGGAGAACACACAGGTTTGGATTTGGAAGGCTAAYTCTGGGCTGCTGTGTTGTTCTCAATTATTATATTTCAACTGCTTGCTTTAAAAACTGAAATTACTTGTATGCTTCTTTTTCTCTTAGCTTTTCAGAACTCAGTCGCTTGGGAGTATCAATTTGCCTCTAACTTTTCTCATCCCATCATTCCAGTAAGTAACACTGGACTAGTTCATCACTTCAGATCAGCTCCATGAAGGCAACTTGGAACCAGTATTTAAGTGTGCAACTTCATAATTTTGTATTATTCCTCATCAAGGTGACCATACTAGCAATAATCAGCAAAGAAAAAGAATACAATCTGATTCGGCATTTAAGATGAGTATCTCCTACCAGGATTTAGGAGAGRAAAAAAAAAAAGTTGTGAGAGGTAACGACATAGCATGTGGGAAAGCCTGGCCTTATATCTAGCTTTTAGCCTCTTCTAAGACTTACAGAGCTGTTGTCCCTGAGAGCTTGTCCATTTTTTCTGTCAATTAATAGCTCATCTCTGCAAACTTTCYCAGAGCAAGGTGCAGTTTTACTGGAGCCTGGCTGCACTTGGAGAAGGTGCCAGCAGATGGCAGGCAGCAGTTTCCAGAATGAGTAGCTCAGGAAAAAGGAGTTTCCCAATTTTTAAATTGTTTTCTTCTTTTATTTTAACATTAACATCTGCTAAGTGATAAACGGAGACAAGGAGGGAAAAAAAGCACTTGATGGATGTGGGATAAAGTCAGTATTTCAAGAACAGACATTAGTGCAAATTGCAGGGTGCTGTGAGGCCTGTTGGTTTAAGCACCAACCAACCTGAGTCAATAAATTCTACAAGAGCTCTTTCAATTACAGCCCAGATCATGAAAAATGGTACTTTTAGAGAAAGCCATAGCTGAAGTATGGAAGAGTATGAAAGTATTGGAAGAGTATTAATACTTCAGGGAGATTGACAATATTTGTTAGTGGCTTTTATTCTTGACTTAGTAAGTGACAAATCACAGCTGAAATTAAAAGATTTTCATTCTTCTGCAGCTACTTCCAGCTGAAAATTTCAGATTTATAGTGATCTAGATTTTGTAGCCTTCTTGGCTAGTAGAAATATGTTGATAATAAGGAAACAGAATTAATAGAATCCCTCAAGTTCAAAATTTCTGCCCAGTAGCTCTGCACATCTCCAAAGGTCCTCCTGTAGAATTAAGTTAGAGCAGATGGACCATGTTAACAAAGTATGCCCTGGTGTTTATGCACTTACTGGGCAGCAAAGATGAAAGGTGTCAAAAAAAAAAAAGGTGTCTGCCATAGGTCAAAACCTATGGGATGGGGAAGAGGAAGGAGAACAAAAAGTTGTAAAGGCTGCTTGGCTCCCTTCAGGCCRAGAATCAGATTGTTTATTGTAAAAAAAAGAACAAAGAAAAAAAAAACAAAACAAAAACCTGTTGGCAGAAAAATCAACCCATCAGACAGGGAGAGCTCTGATACCAAGCAACATCTTTTATGAGCCAGGTGATAAAAAAACTTCTACCGTTTCTCCTTTCAGTACCAAATAAGATATCAGAATTTACTGAAGGACCTGTGAGCTGTCCAAGAACCTTGCTTAGTCTAGAGAGCTGTGGATGAACAGTTTCAGACCTAAGGCCTAGGCTTAGGACCAGAAAGAGCTGGGCTAATATCATGACCTGTTGGTAAGGTGGAGTTAATCCTTCCTCCTTCTCTTTCTTTGTCTTGTCTATTTAAAAAGTAACTTTTAGTGGGAGGGATGGAAGCTATTGCTGTGTGTTTATTTGGGGGTTATGTGCATGTGAGTTTGGAACGCGGCGTAAGAGAATACATCTTAACAGTTGCCTTCAGGAATGGGAACATACAAAAGGGGCTTAGGAGGAGAAAGGAGAAGCAAGGAACGTGCCTTATTCAGAAGAATGAGAGATAAGCAAAACTGCCCCCACTGTGCTTGTTTTCAAAGGAAATGTCCTGTCTCTTCCAGAGACTAGATGCTTCCTGACATCTCAAAGACTTCCATTAGCAGCAGGGGCGGACCAGGAACAGAGACATTAAGTCTCTGCTGTTACAAACTGAGCATAGATTAGGGTTAGCGTTTGTGCGAGGCTTTGATCACAGCAGCCACTCTGACATGTAAATACAGGCTGAGCAGTATGAAATAGTGATGGCCATTACGAGCTGTCCGAGCGAGCAAAATACCGAAAAAGGCTCTTTGTGGCTCCCCTGGGAGGCGCTGGGCAAGGAGGTGCATCCAGGTGGGGCTCCAAGCTGCATCACAAGTGCACAGAGCTGGGCAAGGCATGGAGGAGGGCCCCGGCTTGCTTGGAATCCCTTTGGTTTCTTGGAAATTGCAACTGATGCTGATTTAACCCTTTGTACTTCAGCCAGTGAGAAATGTGTTCTTCAGCCAGTGAGCGTGTACTACAGTGGTGAAGGATGGATTGGAGACACTGTGGGGTTCTCTTGTGGAAGGCAGTTCCTCCAAGGGCTGCAGCTGTGTTCGTAGGTCCTGCTGCCTTGAGGTATTTCCAGGGATTGTAATTTTGGACAAAATACACCTTTATAATAGGCTTCTGATCTGTGTAAGTGCTAATGTGGAAGGAAGTCAACCCAGGGTTTGGCCACCTCATCTAGGTAATGGTGCTCACGGAAGCCTGTAGAGCTATTGAGCCAATAATTCCAGCTTCCAGCTGTGCAGTAGTACAAAACACATCCACTGAGATGGGAGTGAAGAGGCTGTCCTTTCCCTTGCGCTTTGCTAAAGGTTTCACATCTAGCAGCCTCCAGAACAGACACAAGTTCTTGAACAGAGCTATAGACTTGCATTGCGTTCACRCTGCCATGCTGTGGGGGGGAAAAAAACAACTATGGAAAAGCTACTTTTCCCTTAAATAATTAAGTAGTTAATTGCACAAGAGAAGGATCTCAGGAGGCCCGAAGTTATCACTGTTTCAAATGTTCCCAATGGAATCTTTTGTTAACTGAGTTCATGACACACGAGCATTTGTTAAACACACCACACAGGTTACGGCAAGGACAGGAGCATCTGTCACTAGCGCTGTTCATCTTTGCATCTGCATCTTTCAATTTAAGGAACATATGGAGGCCTCCTGAGGCTGTGCTGTACTACAGGGAAGATCTATGAAGATGAGGAAGAAGGTCTATGTGGAAAATATGCATCATTAATTGAACAAAGAAGGAAGCAGTGATCAAAGGAGAAGAGGGGGATACAATGATGGTAAGAATAGTTTCTGCTATGGTAGGTCCTGGATCTGCTCCATATCCTCCTCCTGTTTCCTATCTAAAGGCCTTTTATAGATGYTTCTTAATTTCTTTCCCTTCATCACTAAGTCCTTTTAAGTCTATTTAGGGATCTCCTTGTCAGTATGAGGACTGGTATGAATGGTATGAGGAGTGGTAGAGAAGGGAGGTG